GGGACGGGCTTGGGCCTCGCTCCGATCAGCGCGCTGGATTTGTTTGATGTTTGAAGAGGTGACCGGAACAAAACGAGAAAACAACGAGAAACACCTTCGAAACTGAAGGACATCGAAAAGTGGTGAATTCGTATTTCTCAAGTTTCTACACTTAGCCATCGTCGAAATTTGTCTGTTCAAGCAGCGTCAAAGAAGGACATGAACCCCTCCCGAGGGAGTCCGGTAGTTGCGGGATGCGGGTCCACTGGTTGCTTGTCAGTAAAAACCACCATGCGACAACTGAGCACATACCACATTGGAATGAACGCAATGAACATAGCAATCCACCTGGAGATGTCCAGTTCTTTGGGCGTTTGTTTTGGACCCACATGTACTCACTGTAGTCGGTGCTTGGTCTCATGATGGTCGAAACATGTCGAATCCCTCTTGAAGGTAGCAGGTAGCACTTTCTGAATTATGGAGCTGCCTTTTTTCAAGAGGAATCCTGTAACAGTTCTCAATGGAACTCCAAAGACATCTGGACGCATCATTCACTGAGAGGTCGGACTTTGACTTCTTCAGCCTGGGCGAACTCTGTGTTTTCATCTGGAAAGTTAGTTTCTCTAAAATTAGCGGGGGGGAGCTTCCTTGAAGAAGCGTCAGCTATCCTGCGTCCACGAGGTAGTAGCTTACTAGAAGGCACTAGCTACCTAGATACTTCCTACCTCTACCTGCCTACCCCCCCGAAAAAAGAATGCCAACGGTCCACATAGAAACATTTAACCAGTTCAGGTCAGTCAACATCGGCAACATGCGGTGGAGCCAAACAAATGGTCCGAAGGGTTCAGTGATAAGTGAAAAGTATACATTATATGATTATATATGTATAAAGTTGCAAAACATAAACATATATATATTATAACTATGTATGTATATTTGTATATATTTGTGTATTATATATGTGCACTTCTCTTGAGTCTGTCACGAACTGGCAGACCCATGAGCTGGAGGACTTTGCGCTTTCGAAGCCTCCCGGTTGTGCACTCCCCACGAAGCAGTTCTCCAGGACTAGTGTTGAAGCAAGAGTGGCCTTGAATGCCAAATGAAATCAAGGACAACATCCCACTATCTGAAGTGTGATATGTCTAGGCTTCCATCAACCGTGCTGCAATTCCTGGGTCAATCAGTGCAGTGAGTTTTGCTTCTTTCCCCTCACTGGAGTTGCAAGATTTTGCACACTTGTGGACTCCGACACGTTCTTCAGCCATGCTGGGCGCGTGACCAAGGGTATATGAGTGACATCATTAGCTGACCTACCTCTCTCAGGTGTTCCTTCTAGCTTGGGAACACGTTCCTCATGATAGCTACCGACTGCAACACAAACTTCATTTCGTTTGAGACCTGCTTGTGTCCAAAATTACAACTATGAACTTTCAACGTATTAAAATGTGCTTGTGTCCCGGTTTTCGTATAGGCAAAACGCACTAAACTGAGAGCCAGAAAATCCCAGAACTGAACCAGGGTAGTTCACTTGGTGTTCAAAGTTCTGGAGTATGTCTGTAATTGTGTCTGTTTGGTAGGTTTGTTGGGGTGGAGGCCATCGCTACTAGGTTGGAGGCTATCGGATGCATTAAAGTGTTGTTCCTTACCCCGTGGAAGTGGTTTCATCCAAAGGGAACTCACTTGGGGCGCCCCACCGGTGGCGGCGGTGGCGGCGGCGGCGGTGCTTGGCCTGGTTTGATAAACGTGCAATGGCTTTCCCACCTGCTCAATTGGAGGCGACTAGGTGTCCAAACTGTGAAGTTGCTTGAGATTTTGACGAAAAGCTCTTGTTAAGCTTAACAGTCCAAACCTGTTCTCTTTCTTTCCACACCCCATTTTGCCCACATAGCCACATAGCTATCATTCTTAATGTTTTCCAAGGCCTGAGTTCGCTTTGGCCAGATCCCACTGAGGCCGCTACTGAGCTCTTCAGCCATCGAAGGATCCCTGGCAGAAGACACCATGCCAGGGATCTTACAAATCTACTTAGGATATGTCCCTCGGTATGTCCTGGTTCTTTGCATGAAAAAACAGTGAATAGCTCACAAGTGGAATGCTTCTTTGGAACCCCAAAAAAACCCGTGGAGACACCCCAGATATATGATCCGTACAGGTCCAGGAGCACCACAGTCGGATCAACTGGTCTGTGTCCGTGGTGGGCCATAAACTTCAACCTCAAAACACAGGAAAAGCGGAGAGGTGGAGAGGTATAGCCCCAAAGCACAATGGGCTCAACCGATTCTTTGCCCACTAACCTTTTGGCCGGGGTGAACATTGAAAAGGGCCCATGAAACGCTCCAACGAATTTCATGCAGGACAGCATCAGGAAAATAGATGCAGAACACAAACACTCCATGTATGGCATATTTACCTACATTGACCCTTGAGTGTTTGGGAAATACATGTCCGCAAAATTGGCGTTCTTTCTTTTGATCTACGACACTCTCGCTGTTGTCACCCCGCCTCAGGCATTGCTGAAGGAGAGCAATGGTCTGCTGCAAGGCCTTCCAGGGTGGTGATTGATCTTACAAAACCGGCTCGTTGCGGGAGCTCGTGGCGTCCTGGTGCCGAGTGCTATACACTCCTTGGAATCGTGGAAGTGGATGGCACCATCTTATTTGTAGAGGAAAATGGTCATCCAAGGGGCCATTTTCCACTTCCATGATGATTCCAAGGAGTGTATCCGTATTCGGGAAAGGTAGGACACGATTTGCCCGTTGTTTGTACCCTGGAACTCCTTGCCGGCTCTCTGCTTGAAGCTCCTCACGGTCGCCGAACACCTTTCCGAAAAGGTTTTGCAAGTCATCACAAACCGGTGAAGAACTGGGCCCGCTTCTTCAAAGCAAGCGGCCGTTCGGAACCATGCCACGGTCGAATCGGATTCTTCCACATACCGCACATCCTGCACAACAAAAATGCCAAACAAAAAGCGTTATTAATGTAGACTCTTGCTGAATAGAAACAAGGTAAACATCGATTGTAAACCCTCTTCAGGCTTGGAGAATTGAAATATCCAGAATCCCACACCATCCTCCACCGGAACCGCTGCAATGCTCCACCGCCGCGTGGGGCGCAGTCTCCGCCTGCTCCTCACGTTGCTGCAGGTCCTTGGCTCGTTCCAAGCGCGCCTGGAGCCGCTGCCGGTTTCGCCGCGGAGCGGCCTCGGTGGCGCATGGCGACGTGGCCACCTGCCAACTGGTAGGCAGTTGAGGGACTAGACTGTATAGACACCCTATGCTATTGTGTCCATTTTTGGGACACACTCGCATTGACTGAACATTCAGATCCTTCACAACCACTGGTCAAAGAGATTTCTTGTATAAAACGCATGACTTCTGGGCTTTCCTATTTTTTTTCGGCAAACCCAAACGCAAGGTCTGAGCGCCCAGCAGGCGCATTGACCAAGCCCCCCAAGCCCAAGCTGGCCTGGGCGGAAACTTCATGTGCTCCTGACTAACATTCATCTGAGTTCCTAGCATGCTGGGTCCATTCCCATGCAGCTGGCTTGGGTGGTCTTTATAAAGCTCACAAAATGAGACATGTCCAACGCGAGTTGATCAGCAAAACACAGGCGTGGACATCTAGCAACACCGGCGGCAACTTTCTGCACAACATTCTGCCTCCCAGTTGATGAACAAGTGTCGTGAGAGAAGCACAATATTATGGCTAAAAACATGTCAATGCGTCTAGCAATATCATCCGATCGAGTCTTTATTGCAATTCTTTCATATAGCATGGATCGTTCATTGATTAATGGATTGAAATTCATGTCCTGTAGGATAGCTCCCAAGAAACTGGCAAGAAATTGTTCACATGGCGACATCCCATACATATGGCTCTCCTGTCCAAATCGGCAGGAACATCAAGAACATGACTTCTCCGCTAGGAAGGAATCTGTTCGACAATCAGAGTCCCTATCGACAAAATGTCTGCTGAGTTTGTTCGGCTGTGAACTGCTGAGTTTGCCACCAACTGCTTATTTAAGGCCATTTCGATGGCAGGCCTGGCAGGGTAGGACCAGTTCCGGTTGTTGACTACGTCTGTGAAATTCAGCAGGAACAACCCAACTTGCGAAAGTGTGCCAGACTAGTCCTACAATCACATTTCTGTATCAAAGCAACGTTCAGCAACCGAGTCGCGATTTCTGTTGATAAAATCATGAGATCTGTTGCACAATACCTTCCACTGCTGAACGTCATTTAAGAATACTTAAATCCTGGGGGGCCAGATATTGGAATACATGCAATGACACATCAGCAGCAAGAGTGCCCCATCCCGATTTTGTGCCGCCATGCTGTCCCAAAGACACGAAAATTGTTGCAGTTTGTTACTGCACAGCCTTGAAACTAAGGGAGTGGCTACGGCAACTGAGATGACTAAAGTGTTCCAGCCTTTTTTCATGCTGAACTGTTTGGTTCGTGGCATCGATTCCCTACTTCCATCAAAACTCTATCTATGTCACAATAGCAACACAGTTCAGCACCCAGGCACACATCAATATTGTCTTCCAACCATGTGGCCATATTCGGCCAGCTGAACACGAAAGCTTCTGAACAACGAAGTCATCTTCGCCTGGCTTGTCAGCGATGGACACCACTCTCCATTCTGAGGACATAGAACACATGCCATGGCTGGGTTTGAGTGGGACATTGTGTTGGAATACTTCAAAGGTACTATATATTAAGTTATATTGGTGAGTCCCGCATATTACTGTATATCACTGAGTCAACCGATGTGGTGCACTAACCTGAAGAACTCAAAGACCACTAAAACACAAGAATGTCACAAGAATGGGTCTGGATTCAGAATGTGACGAGAATGTGCTTGGCTTTAGACTGTCACAAAAATGTGTTTGGGCTTAGAATGTCGCAAGATGGGTTCGGGCTTAAAGCGTCGCAAAGAAAACACACAATGATTGCCGACTTCCAAATCTCTCTTAGGCGGGCGGATCGAGTTCATCGATCCTAGCTCTGCCACCTTCAGGTTTTTGTCTCCTGGAAGGTCTCTTCGGTGATGATGACCTTTGGCCCAAATTCGGAACATCAAATACGTGGGTTTGTTTTGAAGGCATACTATATAGAGTAAGTAAGTGTCATAAAATCTTATTCATATTCGCATATACACCACACCTTGTATGGCAAATGTTCCGGCATGAGTTGCACCAGCAGATGCGGCACCAGCAGACGACATGTTGTAGAAGAAATTGGGTGGAAGTTGTTAGATTATATTGCCATGAGTTCGCTGCAGAGGAGAAGCGAAGGTATTACATGATTTGAAGCAGTTGAAGCAACAGCAAGAGCAAGACACAAATGAAGTGAAGCAAATCTATTCTTGGTCGCTTAGATACGCTAGATACTACTCTTAGGCAAGACACCGTTTTTCAATCCATGAGCAGAGTTCCCCAGATGCTACCCATAAATCTTTGGTTTTGTACCAAAGACCGGATCTACTGCGACATGATCTTTGCCTGGAGTTGGGTCGAACCAACCAACCTTTGTGTGTTGGTTCAGTTCGATGAGGCTTTTTAAAGTGTCACGATCTGGCTTTCAGATGGCTCCTGGCCCTGGCGTGGGCCGGAGGCGGTGCGGCGCCAAGGTCTGAGGCGTGCCGCCTCTTTCAAGAAGGCCACGCCGTTGTTCCCATGCTAACAACCTTGGAGGGGTCTGAATACTCTTGAGAGCCACGTAACTCCTTTTTGTCGAATGTGGTCACATCCGCCTCCACATCCGAACTGGATCGTTTTCTCCTTTTCTTCGACATACTCCTTCTTCACACGGCATAGGCCAGTCTGTGGTTGACACGCAGGCATCTAGTGATAGCGGCACACGGCGTGCTGTTGAGGACGCGAAAGAGAAGAGATCTTTGCTCCTGGAATGAGGTATGGCTTGATTCATCATGCTTGATCCTTTTGCATCACGGAAGACTGCCAATACATAATACTGGTTTTGTAAATGAAACGCTCGTACTTTGGCTCAAGTGGAAGAAAAGGCGGGTTCACCGACTCGCATGTTGAAATGGCACCAGAATAACCAGAGCCAGAAGATGAAGAGCAACAGCAACATCAGGTGATGGAAACAGGAGGAAACACTGGTAGTTGCACCGATGCTTCAAACCTGCACGACCATGCTGAGACGTAAGCTTCCAAAGGGTTCCTCGCACACACCTGCATGGGGAACTTGGATCCTTCCCACCTTGATAGAAGACGATGTGCACGAAGCATGTGGATGATCTTGGTGTCGTTAGCCTTCAAGAGCTCCAGTAGTGACCTCTTCCACTTTGTCTTTTCCGCAGACTTCTGGGCCCTCGTAGATTTTGCTCATGAGGTCTTCCGGATCAGGTCGGCACATCTTGATCTCCGCAGGCAGTTGTAAAGTAAGACGAAGTGTCACCTCACGGCCCTGTAGGTGGCAATGCCCGGCGACCAAACAGGACATCATGACAAAAAACGGGAAACGAATGCAAATTGGAATGCTGAGCTTTGATGCATGCGTGGACAAAATACTCAATATTCCTGGAACCAAGAAGCAAGCTTTTCTCAAAGACTTTCTACGCAATCTTGGTTCGTGGTTCGAGGAAAATCTTAGGACGTTCAGGAAAAACATAGGAAAACCCTAGGGTTTTCTAGTAGTTTCTTTGTTCCAAATGGATTTTTACTGTTTATAGTTCCTTTTGACACGTTATCTTCACCTGCAGTGCACGAGGGGGGCCGGGTGGCCTCCCCCGGGGCAAAGGGAAGCAAAAAGCTATTTCAAAAAAATACCCAGTACATATAGATATAAGGTATATAAGGTATCAAAAAGAATCACAAAACACTACAGTGGCCAGCAAAAAAAAAATCAGCAAAAAACACTGTAAAACACAGTGCTTTCATAGAAAAGGTGGGTACTGGGGGGGGGTACCATACATATATTATGAGGGAAGACCTCCCAACCAAACGGGCTTAGTCAGCTGTTCCTTGGGGTGGGGGCGGGGTCTCTGCAGTCTCCCTATTCCACACGCCTAACGGTCGGAATAGGTAGACCTGGTGGCTTACGGTCACACGAATTAGATGGCAAACACATCATTTGTGGCTTCCATCAACTGACGAAAACAGCTGTTTTCCTGAAGATCTGATCTTCCTAGAAAACACCTCGGAGACTTCATGTGCAAGCGTGTACAAGTACAAAACAAAAGGTAGATTGTTGCTCTTTCTGGCATACGGCACCCCTTCACCATGTGAATGAGTACTTTCAGCGGTTTGATGCGTGATCGAATACACTCTGTATGTTCACCAGTGTTCTGCTTGCCTCACAGGGCCTTTTTCACCCTGGAAGCGACCAGATTGTAACGGGGCCACAAACATCTTTGGAAGAACATGTCGGGACAAGACCTGCTAACGGGTGATGGCGCGTGGCACAGCATGGCGCAAGGTCTAAAGGAACCTCCCACCAGTTTGGAGTTAGGCGCGTATGAAGCTACACCCTCGAAGATTAACATGGAACCTGAAAAAAAACACTGGATTGTAAAGGAAACTAGTCTTCCAGTCTGGTCCATGCCAAGCCCGGCTCCGGTCTCTTCGCCAAGGCACCCAGTCGCCCATGGTTTCCAAGGGTTTGGGCACTGAGCCACCACGGACCGCCTTCAGGGTAGCACCCACGGAGCCGGGCCAACAAATAATGTTGGTCACCTGGGATGGAGCTGAGCCTGGGTTCTGAAAGGGAAGAACTGCTTGGGCAAGGTGTTTCTGAACCCGGTAATTTGTTGAATACTTGTTGAGGGGATGTGAAGTGAAGCCTAGTTGCTAGATCTTGCAAGAACTGAGACAGGACTCCGCGCAAAAAAAAAAGCAATTGGCTGCGAGCATTGTGTTGCACAAATTCAAAACAACTGTCGCACCGGCAGGTGGCCTTTGTTAGTACCACAAGAACCAGGGCTGCCACATGCTACAAGTACTACCCAACTTCTGTGAGTGTGATGGAATTGTAAGGAGTACATATATATCTATAGCGGAAGGCAATGGTGATTGCTGCGCACCAAATGCAGAACAGGTGTCTGTCTCAGATCAAGATCTTCCCCCATCCAGGTCGGTAAGTAGAACTATGGAACTGGAAAGTTTACCTCTACGTTATTTTTGGTACAGCTACAGCAGTAGTAAGCAAACCTAGAGCATACCAACGACCCTTTTATGGATCAGAGGTCAAACCGGGCAAAAAAAAAGGTGGCTTTCTTTGGAATCCTCAGAAAGGTCCCTAAGTCAACTCGCTAAGCTGGGCATCTCATCCTGGCACCAATTCCATCGGCAAATCGCAACGATGACCGTGGTCTTCATCGAAACGTTGACCGTGGACGTCGGTCTCCTCGCCTCGAGACCTCGCAGTGGACGTTGAGACCGAGCCACGCCTTCAGGACACCTCTTTGGGCCCATGTGCAACACCTCTGCCTCCGGATGAAGCCTTGGGAAGTCGCAGCTTCAGCTTCAACGTTCGTTCGACCGAGAATCCACGAATCCGAAACGACCGCTGGGGTCGCGCTCGCGCAGGTTAGGTGTCCTCCTGGTCCTATATATGGCAGGCCCTTTTGGAGCCCATTGATAACTTCTGTCTAAAAAAGGGAACCCATTTGTTAGGAACCTGCGCGGCCTCAGGTTCTGTAGGCTGGTTACGAAGGGAGGAAAGTGGCCCAAAACGACGAGGATATTTGTCTAATGACCCACATCATGGGGTTGCAAGAATGGTTTGGTGGCAAAGGGCAGGGACGAACGATAGACATCACTGCAAGAGCCTCACGAATGTGGTTGCGTCAGCATAGAGGGCCTGAAAGCCAACACCTCAAGTCCCGAACCATGCGTGGCATGAAGCCGAGATGCTCGTCTAGAACAAGCCAGTGGGAACTGGCCATTACATTCAAATTCTGTTTGAAAAAAGTCTACAAAGCACCCGATGCGGACCCCTCAAAGAACATGGCAAGGCTTAGGCACTGAGGGCAATAGCGTGGCAAGGCTTCTGGAATGCCCAAGCCATGAGCGCAATGGAAGGCGCCACACAAATGCAAGACCACGCATTCCGGCGCCTCAAAAGCGATGTGTGCTAGACCGTTTTTGGTGAGAAAAACCTCCCGATCGCTGTGGAAGACTGGGACTGGGACGACGTTATGGCTGTGGGTCATGGCAGGACACCCTGGTTGACCACCCAAAATGAAGAGAATAGACTACCAGGGAGGTCAACCTACTAGGGTTTGGGGCTCGTTTTGACCGCGCTGTGGGACCTGCACCACAAGACCCACCAAGCACGACCGACAGCAGGTGTAGGTCTCGCATGGTCATTGGGGCTCCAGGTTGAACGAACCATCCCCATAGAGCATTATAGTTGCAAAACACAAGGACCATCTTGCAACGTGTTCTTCCAATATGGAACCTGAAACCGCAGGTGTAGCGGACCGAGGAAAACCGTCGGTGTTCCACTCGTGGTCCATTCGACTTGGGTCCATGGGAGTGTCCGGGAGGGCTAGAGCCGACTCCGCCGCCTCTGCAGGCCTCCTCCTTGTTGGGATTTGGTAGCCGGAGCTCGAACAAAATGGGTGTGTTGGAGACCGCTGGGAGTCGTGTGTTAAGTCAACATGTTTTGGTAGTTCCCTAAACCATCCCACACCATTTGCTCCAATGAACCCCCCCCCAATGAGCCATCTCCAATCTCTAACTTTTGAGGCGCTTCATTGCAGCTAGAAACGCGCCTCCGGGTCAGCTCGAAGCGCTTCAGCCACAGACTTTGCCATGGCATGATCCCACAGGAGTTGCGCCTCGCCAGAAGTTGCCCCAAATTCCCGGGTTCCGTCGCTGTCCCACTGGATGTGCCCTGTAGAGTTTACGAAATTTGATGTGCAATGACAAAGTTCATGAAGATTCTATCAGATGTGGGATTCTGAAAAGGCTGGTTGGATTGGGATGTGATGATGGTCTTCGACGAATTTTCAGTTCGACGAATCACAAGTGATCGTGACAGCGGAGCACCATCACATACCCTGCACATACGGGCAACTCTCTGTCTATAGGCGGAATGACCACAGGACAATGAGTGGAGATCTGATCTAGCATCAGAAATGGTACGAAATGGTGCAAGCCTTCGGTGTGAGTGCTTTCCAAGAGGAGAAGCAACATGGAAAACCCCACGGAAGTCCCCACGGTGCCGATGAATCGAGAAGCCCTCGGATCGAACGTAGAGCACCTACTTCCTGCAAACAGTCATTGAACGAATGCCAGCTTCTGTGCATCATTCAACTGCCCAACCCTTGCTTCAATGATGGCTTTCTCGGAGCCTGTCTATAACAAAAGACATCGGAACCAAGACAATGCACTCGTGGGGTTACCGTTACGACCAAAATACACAACGGAATGATCGGGACCTGGAATGGAGATACACCAGACATCAAAACCATTCAAAATCCATTATGGCGCTCTTTAGCAGCTTCGCTGTGAGATTCGCCGGCATCCTTCGATCCTCATTTCTCACATGTACCCCTGATCAGGTCGGCCTGCATGGTTTCAGGCCGCACGCTTCGCAAATCCTCGCCTCGCTGTCACGGCCGTGATTTCGACTGCATGTCAGGAGCCTGGATAGAACATTGCAAAAGGCATCTAGGTCGGTTTCCCCCCAAGATCTTGAGCATCTTGCGTGATGAACCCCAAATCCTGAGCATGCTTACATACGCCTACCATCCAATGAACTTTCAGACAGTTCAGCTTCCAACTTTGTGTTGTCATAAACTGATCTACAAAACGCGAGGTCCAGATCCAGGAAGCCCACTGAACCCTGTTCCCAAACGAATTCGCTCAACGCTGAAGCGAAGCGCTGGAAAAGCCGATGAAAGGACAGCTGCCACCCGTGTCACTCTGCAAGGTGGGCATGGACATGGTTTCTTCCTTAGGACTCAGGACGCAAAAAATGTACTGGATTCCACATTGTGTGAGAGTTGAACATCGTGAACATGGATGCTCACACCCTTTTGCTTCCACAGAATCTCACCCCAAGGCGGACTGGGCGGGTCTCGACTGCGCGAATGAAAGGGGTCCCCTGCGTCACCCAAATGACCCGTTGCGGGGTTCAACACTGGTCTCTCCAAGAAAAGATACAGACCATGCGGCCATGGGGGTCAAAACCTTTGTCAAACTCAGTGGCACCTAGTCTCGTAGTCAACTATAGACTATACCTGTAAGTTTGATGTGACAGTCGATTTATGACTGCATACCATCCTTACTCCGATCCTCGCACCCCCCCGCCAACCAACAGTTTTTGGGTAGAACACTCGGCGGAACGGAGGGGGTTGAATTCCCGCCCAGATGGGCAGGCAACGACGCGAACATGGTGCCCAAATGCTCCTGGACCCTCATATGGAGGAGTCCAGACCCTCACATCCCTAGGTGTTGAGGGACCGGAAGGGCTGTGAACAGAGCATCTGGGTGTGAGAAATCCAGTTCCAGCTTTTCAGCCTGCCAGATTCGCCCAGCTGCGAATTTTCTTCGATAGGCTGGACTGGGAAGAGGAAGTGGAAAAGGAGGTAGCAAAGAGCGGCACCCATTTGCCTGGAGCGATGTTGCTACCCCTCAATACCAATCTTTGGCTCTTCCAGAATCAAGGCCACTGAATTCGGGGCCCGAATTGCACGGTTGTGTGACAGGTGTGGTGAAGCCACGAATTGCACAGTCGTCCGCCCACACGAGGGACGACCGGTCGAGTGCAGTGACGGGAATAGATCTCCCTCGACTGACTCGAACGGTGTTCTATTTTTCGCCGCTCAGCTCAGAGTTTTGGGGGTCTTAGCCCGACATACACCAGTGTCGAGGGAATGATTCGGACCCCTTGAAGCATATATTATATGGCTTCTGATAAATCAACCCCCATATAGGGGTTGGAGGCCATTGCAATAGGGATTTGAGGCCATTGCTATTAGAAACAAAAAGAAAACAAACAAGGAATCAAGAAAGGCCTTTTGTGGTCCTCAAAGTCTCCACATCTACACTGTGGCCCCCCAAACATACGGAAGCAAGATGGAAGACCAAGACCATCCGCCTCTACCGCTTTGCAATTCCTTTAAACAAAAAGAATCAACTGTTCCAAAGTTGTGCCGAACTTGAAGGCTAGGGGTGAAACAATGATCCACTTGCTTTGCATTCAGGTCGAATTACAACACCCCCACTCCATGGAACTTCAAACCATTCAGACCACCTTTTTTCAAATTGTGTTCAAGCCCCTCCTGTTCCCAATTCCCCAGCCCTGCCCAGCCCCCGCCTCAAGCCCTCGCAAGAACTGCTCGCCCTTCCGAGAGACCATCGAGACGTAGCGCCGCGGCGCGTTGGCCTGGGCGGCGAAACCGCGGCGGAAGCCGCGGGCGGGAAGACTCCCGGGGGAGAATTGGCACTGTAATGTATGGAGCATTGGTGCAAAGGAACCCCCAAGTAGGTCCTTTCCAGAGCTTCTGAAACCGCGGAAAGGTTGACCACTTTGGCGTGTCTGTGGGTTTGACCACCTCTAGTCGTGCAGGGTTTCGACAAACAATCATACATCAACATATATATTTCCAATGTTGCTTGCATCTATCTGCTTGAGCTCAAAATACTACAAGTACGCTTCTCCCTGTTGCTATGCCAAGTTGAACAGCTGCACTGAACGCTCGACAGCCAGGTGGCGGCAATCACACGGATGCCTTCGTCTCGACAGAACTGGACCAATGGCCTTGCAACAGGACATCACCATGGTCAGATGGTGTGCATGTTCCTAGTAGCTTCTTGCTCCTAGTAGTGAGGCCAGGAGCCCCTAGTACCGTCCTCGCTTCTAGTAGCGATGCCGGGAGCCCCTAGTAGTGTCCTTGCTCCTGGTGTGCATGTTTACACTTGACTCATCAATCACCAAGGATATGTTTGTGCGGTGATCAATCACCCGGAAAGCTTCGGCTTGATGGGCATCATCTTCCGTGTTGGACACACACACAACCAGTCTGAAGTCCACCATAAAGTCTTGAAGTGAAGCACATGTACAAACATTGGTTTCATAAGTGCTTTAATCCGGGAAGTCCAACACACAAACATGTCCATAAGACAATGAGGTTGACCTGCAAATGAGGTAAGAACACATCCAACTGTTGCCCCCACGAAACCAACCCCCATCCCGACGGAGTCTCTAAGCCCAAATGAGCCCAACATGCGACGATGTTGTCGCTTCAAAATGCTTCAAACGGTTCCAATATCTGGTGTCGAAGAGCAATGCGATATGTTGATCAACAATAAGCTATAGTAGTAACAAGTGCCACGCTACTAGGAACAGGTGCCTTACTACTAGTAGTAACAAGAAGCTATTAGAAACAAGAAGCTAATGCGTTATGTTCATCATCATCTTCTCCATCACCAAGCCCGACACGTCGAGAACACCCTTAGGGGGACCACATGGCACATCGACAGACTACCGCTCCTGTAGTCCTCCAAGTAGTTCCCCCAGGGACGGGAGTCCATTAATAGGTCTTCCTCACGAATGGCCTTGTGCAAGACATACCTCAATCGCAAAGGGGCAAGGGGCGCGTATCGCCGCCGCAACGGCGCTGTTGAATTCAGCGTAGCTTCCGCAACGGCGCTTCCGCCTCTCGTAGACTTGGCGTCTCGGGGGTGCCAGTTTTGACAGAAGCTGGGCCAAAAACAGCCTGCATAGCAATCCCATCAGAAGATCATAGAAGTCCTCAAAAGTACGTAGAATTGAGGGTTCACCAGCGCACCATGAAATTCTCATGATTTCATGCTGTGGGAAGGACTGTGTCAGTCGCCTGTACTGTCTACAGCCACTCGCGATCTCGGACGATCTCTTTCACGGTGATTCGGGGAGTTGAACCCATGCGGACGTCTTGGCCGCTCATGTCATGGCATATGACATTGACCCCTGTAGTCAGCCTGTAGTCAACCCCAACTGATCGACGGAAGCGCATGGAGCGTTGATAGGCAATCGTCCAAAGGGGAGGCTTTGTTCACGACAGGAAGAGGGCCGGTATACGGTATACCTGACAAGAGTCTGCCTTTTCATCCATAAAACCAGCCGAAAGGTGGACATGTTGCATAGTTGGAAGATCCAGGTATGCTATGGTATGGTGGTTGTTTAGCGTTCCGGTTCAATCCCGCACCACGAGCCGACAGGCGGGCCACTACTCCACCCCTGCAGCTGAGGGGGTGAGCTGGGGTGTAGACCGTTGAAACACAACAACTTTTTCACGAAATCAATGTGCCACGAGTCAGTTGACAGTAGTATATACGTACTGACGACTCGTTCGCACATGTAAAGAAAAGTTGATAGGAGATTGTGCAACCAAATATATTTTCTAGGCGAAACTGAAATCAAAAGAAGTTCCCTCAAACTTCCTACAAAACGCACCTCTTTTTTTTTTTTTCTCTCTCTCTCTCTCTCTATATGGCTCAAACTGCTGAGCACTCAACGTCCCCACCACTTGCTGGACGAAAATTCATGGGCTGTTCCCACTTAATTTGAGTTGAAATTGGATCGCCCACACCTATTCTTGTGTTACAAACGAATTTGTCTGAGAAGTAAATCTGAAGAATGCCTCATCCTCCGTGGTTTTCGATGTCCAAATGCCTGCCCCAGACACTCGTCGAGCACCTCCTGCACGTCCATTTCGAACATCTCCATCGAGAGGATTAGCCTGCGGAGCAATGAGTCGAACGAAGTCGGTGGATGAGGTCGGTCCCGATGGGCCGAACGAACGAAAAAAGGAGGCATCTCTTGGGGCCGAACGAGACCGGAAGACGTCCTTCTTTTTTTCTGAAGTCTCTTGGATCCGTTGGATCTTGTCCTTTAGGCCTTTTTGCTTCGCTATGTCAACTGTTCACCCATCCCCATCTTCACCCCACCTTCGCTGGCCATGTCGCCTCAGGTGTTTCAGCACTGCAAGCTGCAAGAGATGTGTCACCTCGGCCGTTTCGCCGTTGCGCGGCGAAACGACGCGCAACGGTGCCATGACAACTGGGTGGTGTCCCATTTTCTCAATGTACCTCGGAAAAGGGGTACAAGACTCTCAAGATGTCTCAAGGTACCTGTTGTTTTTTTGGGGGGTCATGTCCCATTTTCAAAGGTACTTTGCAGGGTCCAGGCCTCTTCTGACTTCTCTTTGGAAGCAAAGGCGTCTCCAACTGGGGAGATTGAGACACACCCAGTTGTCATGAAGTCAGGCAGCAAATGCAGGGTGTCAATATATGTCAATGAATTGGAGACCTTTCACAGTTCCCCAAACATTTTACCTGTGCGAACGGGGCAATTCTGGTGACACACACACACATAGATACATGCCTAGACCCTCCCGAAACAATAATGTTTGCCGTAGGCTGTTGAAGCAATATTTTTTGCGGTAACTCAGTTTTTCATATTTTTCTGCCGTAGCTCAATCCCTGGAAACTGAAAACGCCGTCAGAGAAGTGAAAACGCCGTCACTAAAGAAGAATCACCGTTTTGTTTGATCTACAAAAGAGATATTGTTTTGGTCCGTCCATACCCTGAAATTGCCTTCTCGTTTTTTTCATGTGCAAGTAGAGCTCATCGTTTTCAAGCCTCATGGTACCACTTCTCAAGATGTTGCAGCCTTTGTCTAAGGTCATGACTGACATCATGGCAGGATTTGTTCACATTCTGATCACGCAATGGCTGAAAGGATCGATTGTGACAAGTCTTGCTGCCACCTTGAGTAGGGTGCGGGGAACAATGCCGTAAGTAGGGGGAAACGCCGTAAGTACGGGGAAAGACGCCGTAAGTACGGGGAAAAACGCCGCAAGTACTGGTAAGAGCGCCGAAATGCTAAATCTTCTGCAATGCCGCGCGCGAGGTCGAGTTACTCACGAAAACCGAGGTCAACTTTTTGGGGGGGGTATGTATGTCTGCTGAAGAGTATGTTCATCCCTATCAGTTGGGACTTGGACCCAATCATATTAAAATCCATATCCAGAATTGCATCGCAAAAAAGAAACCTACCAAAATCCATATCCAAAATGGTATCATCCCACAGAACCACATCATCTTTTCATATCAAAAACCACATCAAAATCATCAAAAAAATCAAAACCATTGAACCTTAAGCTTTCTGATATCCTAAGGCTGGGCGGTGGAAGCCGGAAAGCCTTGGAATTGCAAAGGCCGGATGAACATGGGCTTAGACTTTCGGGCTCCCCAATTGACACAAACAACGGTAGCATCAAGCTCACGACTGGCCCGGGGAGAGAGGGAAGACCAAGGGTACGTGGTGATGTACCCCTCTGGAATGAAGCCTGCGGGTTTGGAATTGGTCGTGCACCGCAGCCGTTTGAGAGGTGGTGTGTGGAGATCACCGGCCGCTTGTGGGGGACCAGCACATACAACACTTCACTTTCTCCAGGGTTTGATTTCGCTCTCGCTCAGTTAGCTGCCTGAAACAACATTCAGATGCCGACGCCGCACTTTGTAAGCATCACACCATTCGGACTCCAAGGGGATCGATGTCGTCATGCCACAGCTCCACCAACACAAGAACAAAAACACACAAAACAAGAATATTGCGCGATTACAATCCAAGCCATGCAGAAGTCAAGCTTATCCGTAGCATATGTATCACAAGCATCACCCGCCTAATAACTAACAGATTACAGCATTTTAATATCCGCGCAGACAACAGTAGATATGGAGTATGTTGTTCTTCTTGAAACATCCATTGTCACATCAGCAATGGCTGATCATTTTTGGGGTGGGCGCAGAACGTATGCCAACTCGAGTGGCTTACCGAGCTGTTTCCAATGATCTGCGGAGCGGATCACGGTATTGTCCCGATCCATGAACACGACAGTGCTTCCTCATAGGCCACAAACAAATGAAAGCCATGATCACCAATAACAAAGAGCAACTCAGGTCAAGTCCTTCGCACGCATCGAAGTGCTTCAGGATTTTGTTTGCCAAAGCCCCTTTCCAATAATAAGGCTTAGCCTCAACCTGAAAGCTATCCAACCCAACGTTTCACTCAAGCTTCACCATACACCCAGCCTTGAAGAAATGCTCACCGGTCAGTGAGTGGTATGCTTCAACATAGTCCCCGTTGTAGCCAATCATCAGAAAAAACAGGCCGTCAAACGCAGAGTTTTCGCAACTCCAGAAACTTTCCAATCTTCAGATTTGTCGGCTGTTTAAATCTTCACTTCAATTCTAGATTTCCACACACAAACCTCGCTAACCGCGAGGTGTGAACCTCGGACCTGGTGAGCTAAGGGAATTTCCGGACCACGGCCGGACCACAAGGCCACACAATTGCGGAGATCTTCTGATTCATTTGGCCCGAAATCTAACTCTGAGCCTGGATCAGTAGAAGGGCTATCCAATTTAGTTGGACAAATCGAAGGCCCAAGGTTGCTCAATCTCTTCCAATTTGTCGGCCAGTGAACCTACGAGGTGCGGCTCCTCATTCTTGCCATCTACCCAGGCCACGTACAGGTTGACTTTTTGGAAAGCCTTGACTTTGTCAGGCATGGGCAGCGCACTGAATGGTTCCCAGCGCTTGAGGAAGCGCTTGGGGAGGGTTGGGTCCTAGTTTGATAACATAGAGCTATTGCAATCTCTATGGTAAAAAATAGGAAAGAATACGACATCAAAATAGGAATAAAATAGGGCTGAAAACAAGAACAATCATGAAACAGGACAAAAATAGGATTGAATATTCAGATTTCCGGAAGGCGGGTGTTTCATTCCGATCAGAGGCATGATCAGACACGTGTGAATGAAACTACTAGCAATGCTGGAAACTACTACTAGGAGTTCTTGATTTTCAAAAAGACAATGAAAGGAATTGATCAGCTTTAACGGAAAAAAGTAAAGAACTAATCATCTAAAAAAAGAAAATGCATGGAATTGCTCGTTTTAAAAAAGGTCAAAGAAATTGATCAAGTTCAAAAATGAAAATGAGATGAACTACAAGTATAGGAAAAGAGTATAGAAGAGAATTTTATATTTTCAAAAGGAAAATGAAAAGAATTTACAATTTTGAAGCAAAAATGAAAAGGAACTATTTTTTGGAAAAAGATGAAAGGATTTAGAAATCCTTGAAGAAACATATCTTGTTGCACTATAACTATTGTTACTTTGTTCTTTTATAGTTTAACTGATTTTTTGTACCTTATTCTTTGTATTGATATGTTTGTATTACTACCATTTTGTCTTTTTGTTGATTTCGTGTTCAAATGTCTATTGGTGTATTAGTATTTTTGTTTGTTTAGTTATTCTTTTGTATACATTGTTTTTACTGTTATTTACTTTTTGCTTTTTATTACTTTTGGAAATAATCATATTTTTCCTTTTTTCCTGTTTTGGAAAATAGTTACTTTTCATATTTTCATATCCTTCCTATTTACAAGACAATAACAGTAGAAGACAAAACAAATAAAAAACACAACAGCATAAAGTATAAACAAAACAACAAACTAAAAAATACAAGAAACAAAAAGGATAATGGTAACAACAAAGTAGGAACAAAAAAACAAAAAAATTGAATATATCAAAAAGAGTAAAAAATAGAAATGGTAAACAGGATTATTTTGAAAGGAATAGATCGGTTTTAATGACAAATGAAAGGATTGATCACTCTTAAGGGACAAATTCCAGGAATTGGCGGTTTTTTAAGGAATAATGAACGGAATTGAATTGATCATTTCTAAAAGTGAAAATGAAAGGAACTGATCATTTTTGAAGGAAAATGACATGAATTGATCATTTTTTAAAGACAAATGAAAGGAGTTGATCACTTTCAAAAAGGACTAGCTGGAAAGCATGCTTTTCAAATGAAACTACTAGCAAGTCTTTCATTTTTCATATTCTATTCCTAGAACAGCGTCGTCTTCCTATTTCTAAATCCAGCTCTATTTTTCTAACTTGGGCTCCTATTTTCTAATGTCTTCCCATTTTTCCTAAAATATTGTCCGGGCAAGAGACCCCAAACAGTGCGCGTGAGGTCTAGAGGTGTAGCAGCAGAAAGTCTAGAGACCTAAACGCATTGGGGTCCAGAGACGTGATGGTCCATGGCGGTGATGAACGTGGACATCGTGGTGATGTGTGAGTGAGTGAGAGTGAAAAAGAAAGAGAGAGAGAGAGAGAGTGAGTGAGTGAGTGAGTGAGTGAGTGAGTGAGTGAGCAAGTGAGCAAGTGAGCAAGCGAGCGTGCGTGCGTGCGAGCAGGTGAGCACCTGAGAGCACAAAGCGCTGCACCAAAATCTGCATTTCGATGTTCATAGCGCTTGAAACGAAATCGACACTTCGAGATTCACAAAGCGCTGCGCCTGCGACGAAATATGCACTTCAAGGTTCACAAAGTGCTGCGCCTGCCACGAAATCTGCACTTCAAGGTTCGCAAAGCGCTGTGCCTGCCACGAAATCAACACTTCGAGGTTGACAAAGCGCTGTGCCTGCCACCAAATCTACACTTCAAGGTTCACAAGGCGCTGTGCCTGCCACGAAATCTGCACTTCAAGGTTCACAAAGCGCTGTGCCTGCCACGAAATCAACACTTCGAGGTTCACAAAGCGCTGCGCCCGCCACGAAATCTGCACTTCAAGGTTCACAAAGTACTGTGCCTGCCACGAAATCTGCACTTAAAGGTTCACAAAGTGCTGCGCCTGCCACGAAACCAACACTTCGAGGTTCACAAAGCGCTGTACCTGCCACGAAATCTGCACTTCGAGGTTGAGAAAGAGCGCTGTGCCTGCCACGAAATCGGCAAACGAGCCACATGTCCAAAAGCTACGATTCACTGCGCCTGACAAGGTTTTGCATTTCGGGACAGGCACTATGTGATAGCAAACCTGGGACTCCAGCGCTTGAATTTCCACCTCTGAGTCCTGGATCTCGTCATTGTTTTCCGGTGGCGACCTTACAAGACAAGAGCTTAGAAGCGGAAGGCAACTGCAATCAAATATGTCCAATGCGCGCTGCTCACAAGAGTACACAATGTGATGGCAAAGCAAATCCGGAACACGCATTTGTGAAACTGGGGCTCTAGCGACTGAACCGCCATCGGTGAATTGTCACTTTCCTCACTGGTTTTCTCTTGCGGAGGCCTTATAAAGACGAAAGCTTTGAAGCAAAGGGCGGCAACGGCAATCATTTGGACGACATAAAGTACTCAGCACGTTGCCTGCAAGATGCGGGACATTGATTGTGACCTACTATATAAACAGACAACATTTTGCAACAGTGATTTTTTAAAAATACAACTTGCGAACATCCTGAGGCTCCAGCATCTCCACTTGAGCTTCGGCCGTTCAGTCTGATTCTTGAGGCCTCAAGTGTGAAAGCACTAGAACGGGCAGCCTTTTGACGGGCTGTTGGCTGGCCTCAATCAAAGAAAGCAGCGGGTACCGGGTAGACGTAACAAACACAGAAACCAATACACAAGGGCTTGCGTTCGCTAGACGGCTCTTTTGGTGAGTCTTGAGCATTGTAAAAAAAGAAGCCGGAAGCACGACAAAGCTACCATGAGCACGCAGGCCTTTGAAGGAGGCAGGAGAGGTAAAAGGCTTGAGTGCTCAGCGGCTGCAATGAGCAGGATTTCAACAAACGGCAAAAGAAATATAGCGGCCCTTACTATTTCAATTTTTTTTGCAATTCCTAATTTGTGTAAAAATCTTCTGGGTTCCCCTGCGTTCGAACATCACATTGCCCAGGGCGGTCACGTCGTCTTGTCTGCACGTCGTTGGGTCGCCCCTCCCCAAAGCAACGCTCCAAAAACCCGTGGCTGGTGTTTTCTCGCAAACAACTCTACAAACGGCCGAATCCAATGGACACCAGGCGTGCATGGAAAGTGGAAAATCATGGAAAATTATACTGTATACTAGCGATGGGATCCAACCTAATAGCGATGGCCTTATATATGTATATACAAATACACACACGCCCAGCACCATGGGTCAATGATCTCAACCGTCAACAACTGTGGCTCACATGGACCCAACAAGAAAGGACCTGCAATACTTGTGCGTGTGTGCAAGAGCAATGCAGCCATAAGTGTGCGCTTGTGCGCGGCATTTTCTGAAATCCTGCCCGTCCACTCACATGTTAAAAGAGTTTGACAACTTTCAGCCTTCCAGCAATCGAATTTACAGTCAATGCGCATACCTCTGCTGCACCTACTATCTCTTGGGCTCTGCCTCCAAATTGAAAAGCCCACCGGAAAGCTGTTAGATTTCCCCCTCAACAAGAACAACGGTGTCAGTAGTTTGTAGTGTGTCTGAAATAAAGAATACGTAGGAATACTGCCCTACCACACTATTTAATAAACAAACTATTCAATATGTTTGAACGTATTGTTAATGAAAAGGACATTATTCGGTTATCACTTGGCTAGCGGCTATCACTTTTTCAGGACCTGGCCACACTTTCAGCATAGCTACTCATAATTGAACACATCCAAAAAACGCAGCTACTTGGTTATCGCTTTTGACGGGGGCCTATCGATTTTGCAGGTTCTAGCACAATCCCTGATTTTCACGACCTGCTCTTTATTAAATTGGTCAACGCAGGAAACCTGGCTCTGGCTCATTCCTCTAGAGATGTTATGCGCTGGAATGCGCTCAACGTTCTTTTTGATCTTCTCCATCAATGCAGTGGCCAAGCTCGCTGGGCTCGCCGAGTGACTGCATCATCATGGACTTCACCCATCAAAATGGCCTCCAGAGGGACACAAAGCTTTTTTGAGAGGTATTGAGTCTTTGGAAAAAAAAAGTATATTCCAGGATCTCAGTGACCAAAAAGACACTCTACTCCTTCCACTGGGACAGAAATTTCAAGAAGGCAGGCAAGGCACGCGCATACCAGCAGAGGATGCCAAGGTTTCCAGCATCTCCTTCAGTGAGGCCTGAGGGAGAGACACCATGTCACTGGATCAATGTTTGATCAATCGAATTCTGACATATTCTGAATACTTCTGAGGGGTTTATACACAATACATACGAGTACATTGGTCACAAACATGGTTATACCCTTTCTTGGCTGCATGTTGTCTTGTCTGTCTACGCGTTCCAACGACGAAGACCCACCCACATCTGCTTCACTTGGCCATGCAAACAGCAGCTTGCCTCGTTCCGACACGTCCGTGCCCTTTGCGCATGACCCGAACAGTCTGCCCATCCAATGCCGACCTCTCGTGCAGTGGCCCCATGGCGCTGGAAGACCGCGAAGTCCTGTCCTTCCACCAGCGTCCGAACTGGAAGCGCTGCCTGGAAGAGAATGGCGCTCGGTTTCGGCGGGGATCGAATCCCTAAGAACCCGCTGGAAGAATGGCGCTGGAAGAGACGGCATCTGTTACGTGAGAATGCGTTTTGTGAGACTGCTCTAGGCTCTAAGTCACAAACAAATGCAGAAATTGTCAGCTAGTGTGGAGAAGAACAAAACATCCAAAGTTTGCTGTCCTAGTTCGCAAGAGGACAGAATTCCATCGCCAAACCTGCCAAGAATCCCTCCTTTCGAGCACAGTCACGAGAGCCCAGCTGAAAACTTTCAGTGCAGGGGCTACTCGTGGCTTCTTGTTACTAGCTAGTAAGGTGCCTTGCTACTAGTAGTAATGCCCTTGTTACTGAATGCAAGACCTATGGCTCCAGTAACGCATCATTTCCTCCGCTGTCGATTTCCAGGTGGTGCGAACTAACTACTGTCGGGCAGCAATTGCAGGCCAGTTAGGAGCTCAAACACCGTAAACAAACACCAAACCCTGTTTCGAAACACTGTTGCAAACCTTTCTCCGAATGACATCACTTGAACCTTCCAGGATTCTCACACCTCCGGTGTGAAGCTGCCGCGGCTGGCGCCAGGCGTTCCGCCAAAGGGGCAACCGGCCGCGCCGGTGTCGCAGCGCGTCGTCCGGCGCTCCTGGGTCTTCGCTGAGAGCGGCGGAAGAGATCGGATCCAACCTCCCCGTTCTTGAGGAAGTTCACACTTTTCCAAGGCTCACACTTGCGAGACCGACCTCTTTGTTCTTCTGGTATGATGCATCCAACTTACCTAATGAAGTTATGTGGAATACAATCCATGATAAACATGGGAGTAAGTAGACATTGTAGTCAGATGAAGTCGTTGTCTGCCCAACGCAAACGACTGGCATGTTGAGTTCGTAACAGATCCAAGCTGCCTGTGCGTGGTTGGTCCACACACACCAAAAATGAAGAACAGTCAGGGATTGGCACCCTAAGCGCACGAGCCATTGCATCGCACTATGGCAGATGGCAACAAGTGGACGAACCTCCCACCCTGGATGTCAAAGGTCGCTTTTGGAAATTCCTCCATTTCTTCCCCATCTCGTTGGCTTTGAGCGCCAGCCAGCCAGGTGCCCGCCATACCCGGCCTGATTCAGCGTCCAAACGGGGAAGAGGCCCAGTGCCAGGCGCAGGTGCCGGCGCGAGGCGCCCCACGCGGTCGCGGCCATTGGCGCGGTCGCGGTCACCGCGATGCGCAGTTGGATGGATCGAAAAGGTGTTTCCTTTGTGGAATCGGCTGGCATGGTCATGCAGACGAAAGAGGCAAATTTACAAGTGAAAAAGTAACATAACACATCCGCTATGCATGGAAGCGTCGACTTTATCAACCAGTGGTTCCACTATTGATGATGATTGGACCACTGGAATCTCTTTGCGCTATTGAAGAGTTGCATGCCCGCAAGGCAGAGACTATCAATGTGCAAGCTGAGTCACAGACCCTGCGCAAGCAGTGGCGGAAGTAGCTGTATTTTGCTTCAACACGACAAACACTGAACAACCACTGACCAGAACGAACCACGCATTGACCGAACCAAGATTAGGCCGTTGACCATTACAATATTAATGTTTATCATGAGGACACTCATGATGACGTTACTGTCTGTAGACCGTCATATATAAACTACCAGTCTATATATATATATATACGACATGACTGACTAGCTTCCAAAACTTGCCGTGCTTCCCTTTGCCTTCGCCCTCTTGGATGAGCTTCCTTGAGCGCTTTCACTGCCACCCATCTGTGGTTCTGGAGCCAACTGCTGAAGCGAAAACTGACGGGACCACAGCGTCCGAGTCGCTCGCATCGCTCGTGTCAAAGAAGGCGGTGCAGCTTCTCGTCTTGTGACATCTGTCTGTGTCGGACATCTTCGGACGATTCTGAACCGGAGTCGATAAGTAGGTACAGTATGCGTTCCATTATATACATGGAGTGAGTCTCTGGGTCTTTTGTGTTCACTGGGGTCATGCCATCATAGATATGCCCAAACTATCCCCAACATACCCCAAACAGCTTCAACTACGACAAGACAGAAAGAGCCTGCAAAAACGGGGTTTCCCATCGCCAAGAAATTTCCTTCAACCAGTGGCGATGAACACACCCGGTGAACGCATTCCAGCCTGGCGTCCGCAGCTCCAGCCGCGATCGAGCTCCTAGGAAAACCAACATTTACAACGGTACAGTATTGGTCCTGTCCCAAACAAAGAGGTGTGCTTCATGTTGCTGTTCAAACATCGAATCAAAACACCTGCAAAAAGACATAAACACCATATAAATCACGATGAATTGGGTCTGGGTGGGACATGGGTTGTTTGTTCTGTCTCCCCTCGAGACTGAGACTCCGCCTGTAGGCTGGCAGGATCTTGGACCGGATCAAAGGCATATGAAGGATCTCTTTCAGCGACGGCCTGGCCAAGGACTGGACTGCGACGTCCGTTTTGTGCGGATCTACGGAGCCCCACAAGGATATGGTTTCACCAAGGTGAAACGGACGTGACGTGCCTTGAAACGTGGCACAACACCGTTGCCGTTGGAGCAACTTCCGGCCGAGAGGTTTCTCTTCAACGGATCCTTGAAAGTAAAACTGGCAAAAAACTCCTGAGGAGTCTAATCGTTGAATGTGAAATCAATCCAGTGATGTCGACACCAGCACAAAACACATCCAGTGACCTGCCTGTGGCTGGGATTTTTCGTTAACATCGCCTGGATCAGCTGCTTGGTGCTTTGACTGCAACCTGCACGGGTCAGCGCAGCTAGTTCAGCGCGCTGGTCAGCGCGCTGCGGAACGTGGTGCAGCTTGACTCCAAGACATCCACAGTCATCCGGTGGAAAAAGACCCAGCACCGTAGCGCAGGGCATGGACCTCTAGGGGGCTTTCCCATGCAGACCAGGTGAGGATTTCCACCCCGTTTCATTTGTTCGGACAATGGTTCACCAACGACCGGAGGCCGTTGGCTTCCGGGACTGCAATGGTGGTTGTTTTTTGTCCTGCGGGCGTTGCGGGTGTTGCGGGACCGCAGCGGGTGTAGCGTGAAGGGTCGACATGAAAAACATGCTGACCTTTGTGGTCTCACTATGTCTCCCATGTGGTGCACAACATCGACCTGTATGGCCACCGTCTCGTTAGACAGACTCGTAGAGGCTATGTTTCCGATGTCTTCTTGCACAATAATGTGCTTGTACCATTGCTTTGCGGTAGACATGCTATTTTGGTCCTTGACCTTGTATAGTCAGTTTTGTAAGTTATCTAGCCTCTATTATAGACCATGTTTGTACAGGGTGAATCCAGTGGGTCCTTCCGTGTGTCCACCTTGGTGGACGGCATCCCTGACGCTTTCACGGTTAATTTGATACCAATTTTATTGATAGGTGTGGGGATGTGTGGGGTACCCGTTGACCTACGTGCTGTTGAGCCTTGAGCTCGTGGGAATTCAAGGCTTTGTTCGCCATGATGGGGTCTACGAGATGGCGAAAAAGTCGTCTCCGCCAGGGCTCCAGGTCGTCTACACTTCTTTGCTTTTCTTTGTGGAGTTGTGGAGTTTATGCTTCACTACTCCTCCTCAAGACCCAATTTTCCGGGACCGCAATGGCTTCCACTGTTCCTTCCGGTGTTGTTCTGTCCTGCAGGTGTTGCGGTCGGCTGTTTACAGTCACAGGAAGCTCAATGGTTTTGGGGGGCCTTCAGGTCAAAAACGTTTTGCAGAAAAAAAGAAAGAAAACAACGTGGATTCCACCCGATTGGAAACATAGTTTTCTTCTTTTCAGAGTAGAGCAACTGCTCGGCGCATCCGATTGGAAGGAAAAAATGAAAAACCATGCATGTACCCACATCTCACACACAGAAATCCAAAGCCAGCACGACACTTCATCTCCGCTCCTTTCCGCCCATCTCGCACTCGTTTGCCAGCTTGGTGCTGGGTATCCGTGCTGGCTGAGATGGGCGTGTAGCTGCCCTTGATGATCTTTAAAGCCAGTCCTGGCGAATTGTTTTCTGCCAGGACCTGTCAGAGTTCTTTCTCTTTCGACACGTGCCATGAGACTGTCTTTTGATGCCGCCCCAACAACTCATTGCTTTGCTACTCGTGCAAAGGTCCTGTTCTTCGAATTCGCTTCTCTCCTGTTATAATTCAAAAAGAAGCTCCACGAAAAACGCTTTCCCACTCGACGTGAGAACCTCTTCCATGTCAGCTTTCCATTGTTCCCTGACCGGACTCGACGTCGACGGCCATCCCTGCCGCGACGTGGAACCGAAACCTGGGTCCCCCGCCGTTCAAGCTCTGGGCATCGAAGGCCTCGCCCGCTCTCCACGGGTGGTGCACGGTGGGACCTGTTTTTTGTTCACTTCATATATGGTCTACTTACTAGCCTGCATATTTTTATATATAGGATGCTATGAAGGCTATAACACATTCATCCTCCTTTGGCCACTATTAAATTCAATTATATAGATATTTCGTGATATGTCCCTTGTCGGTTTGGAATAGAGGTTTCTCATTCACAACTCAATTGGACTGCTCGACCCAAATGAAGCCGTCAACAGTTTCCTCCCGGGGAACACTTTATGACATGGTTGACCTTCTGATGTAAATCTGCATGTTGAATTGCAGGTGTTTGTTTCCTGGTCTGAGTCAAGCTTGACCTACATAAACTCTTTCTGTAAAGAGCAACAGTTAACCTTCAAGAACTATGCATGGCACTTCGCAGGAAGCTCGCTTTTGCCACTGTAGCCCGTGCGTGTGCGAAAAGCTTTGCACAAATCATCGCAATATGGGATATTCATGATTGATATCGCTTTTGCGCTTTCGGACAAGGATTGCTATGCACGCCTTTTGGCAGGTTGTCCTGCAAGAATATCCAGAAAGCATTAGGTTCCTTTTCCATTGGTCTTTCATGTTGTATTTCCATGCACATTATGTCCTTTTATTTGGGGTAGGCTTTATGAGGCGACCAGGCACGTTAGTCTGTCAATTGATGCCTGACAACAAACATCCAGCACCATCCAAGCTGGTGCGGACAACTGGGACATTGGAAGAGACAATGTGTTGATGGGAGCAAAGTGGTTCAACATCCAACACATACACATGCACGTGCATAATATCTGTTCTCACCATTTATAGAAATCACCTCCACCCACATCCATGACATCAATGAGCTTCCCGACTCGATGACCATTCACGATCTCATACAAGACGCAGCCCAAGCCCCATACATCACCTCAGGCTTGGACGGCGCAACCGACACCGACCGGGCGGTCGGTCGCCCGGTCGGATTGACCGGGGCAACCTGAGTCAATCCACAGTCGTCCTGGCAACCTCTGAGCTGGGTAGGGAGAAAGCATAGGAACACCGAGGATCCAAATTCTGCTCCACAACTCGCATCCACTTCTGCTGATTTCGGCTGTATGCCTTACGGAGGAGGTGCTTTCTGTAAGTGCCAGGCTTCAACCCCCTACAAAAGCAACCAATTAGTGGAAAAGAAGAGAAGTAAAAAGAAGCTCCTGGAATTCCCGACAAACAGTTTACTCTAAAAGAGCTGCTGCAGGCACCTGATATTGCTGTACAGAATTTAACAACGCTCATGAGAAAATCAGATCCAATCTTCTCTGGGAAGCCGGGGTGTCAGGAGGTCTGCGCGGAGCGTGCTTTACCAAAAAGCAACGTAGTGTCTGGTCAATGCGCTGAGATCTCAATTCTCGACCGGTGCTTCAAAGCGAGAAACAAAGGAGTGACCCTCCAACATTTGCCTTCCAGAAGTAGGGAAACGGGGCTGACGGAAGAATATAGACTTTACCTGTACCGGTTGGTTGGGCTTCAATGATTGAAATACACAGCTGACAGGCAGGTTCTGTCGCATCAATTGGTTCATGAAAGAGCTCTTTCGCTCTCTGGACATCCGCCAGAACACCTGGCTCTGTTTGGGCTATCCGGCTATCCAAATCTTGCTTCCAACTCCAGCCTTCATGGTGGGAACTCCTGGAGTTCTCCTCTGGGTCTATGGCCAATTTCAGACGTGCTGCGGTTCACCGAAGGTGCTCGAAAAAACACTTCCGCACATCTCTCGAACTTCTCGCTCGACTTCCAGGAGTTCCATGTCGGAATGGTGTGGCTCGTCCCATCCAGTGGGTGGATGTGAGGGATGGGCACCCCCTGTCAACCGCCGAACTCAGCAGCCGGCACTCAACTCCATGGAACTGGTAAGATGTACAAGAAGCTACCAACGGAGCAAAGGGCATCAATACTAGGGGCTCCTGGCCTTACTACTAGTAGCCCGTGTACACCCAAACTTCCCCCTTCTCACTTCGACGTCAACCCGGGTGGCCGCATCGACTAGACAGTCGACCACCCATCGAAATCGGTGTCTCCACCTGCCAACTGTGCTCCTAAGGCATCTGAGCTCCAGTGCTCTTGTAGCTGTAGGGATGGCTATTGATGAGCTCCTCAGGATCCATCGGAATGGTCAGTACGGACCGGAGTTCTTCATGCACATGCACAAAGTCTCAGGTTTTCAGGACCAGAATTTTACTGATACTTACTGGGTCAGACTGGATCTACAAGGACGAAAGAACCAGGAAGATGGAATCACATATCATATGACAAAGGTTTCCTGAACAAGTTTCTGCAAGTGTCTGCTTGATACGCCAAGTGCTACCATGTGCCTTGATACGCCCTATGTGCCTTGATGACTTTGGTGGGGCGAAATCGAACGACTTCTCGGCTTCTCGCTGGAGACATGTAGAAGGGCGTTCCAATCTGCCTCGGAAGGTGGACGACGGAAGTTTGAGGTGTGGATTGTATGGTCAATTTCAGCACCTCCTCACGAAATGGGGACTGCTTTGGGATGTATAGAAGTGCGCCATGTCAAAGTACGAAGCCATGTGCGATTTTTTTGTCTGAGCCCGGAGCCCCCCAAACAAGTTATTGATTCTTGGTCAGCACTGTACCGCTTGGTGAGGTTCCCCTGTGAGGCTGTATTTTGACCCTTAGGAGAGCTTTGTCCAGAACCAACCCAGATTCTTGAAATGTGTATCAGAAAGACAGAAGTTGCCATGCATCTCTCAAAGGATCATGGGCAGCATCCGACTCACCCAGAATTTATTCTGCATTCGTGAGCAGCTGCCCTACGAGATCAAAAGCTCTTATCTGTGACTACCAGCATCCAACCCAAATAGCGATGGCCTCCAGCCTACTAGCGATGGCACCATCCAAGGAGTGTCCAAAAGACTACCCCACACTACTATTATAGGCTTCCAGGCCCAACCACCCCAAACGGATGGTCCGACCTGGTCCCTCCGTCGCTCTCTGGCACCAACGGGCGACGAAGCACTTGAAATACCATGAGCTCCAAACGTTTTAGCCAGGTCCGCGGTGGAAGACAGGACCTCCGCAGTAGTGCTCGGCCAACGAACCCAACGACCGACAAATCCCTCCGGGTCGTGCGAAGACAGGGCCTGGCGGCCTGGCCATCTCTTTGGCTTGGGAATCCAAGTAACTATACTCTTGCCTGCTTGGTTTTGTCTGAAGAGAAAGGCTTCCCGACTGCTCCTTGGTACTCCGAAGGTAGATTGAAAGTCAATGGAGACTGCAAGGCTTCTCCCCTGTGTTCTTTTTCACCCACGTCTCGGGTCAATTAGGAGGTTCTACAGAGCCCTACCCAAGAGGGCTGCAAAGGGCTATGGCAGTATAACACCAACTTGGTTGATACTTCTTCGATTCTTCGGTTGAAAATGAATGTGTTGAACCCCCCGAAAAAGAACACGTCCTTTTTGGTCTTCAGACTCTTGTTGAAAATCTTTTGATCTTCGGATCGTTCTTTCTTTTGAGATATTGTGTTTTTCCTCGGGAGTCGCAAGCGACTCCCCTGCGCCCGGCCCACCTTAGCCACTCCAAAGTCGCCGAGCTTGGCGGCCAAAGGAGGCCTCCAAAACCGGCAGGTGGCAGGTGGTGGGGCGGGCATGCCCGCGGTGGACATGGGGCGGTCAGCCAAGGGTGGAAGACATGAACACAGAGGCTAAATGATGGTTACCTAGATGAACAGATTAAATGAAAACTAGGTAACCGCCATTAATAGCATGTAACAGCTGTTAAGTCACGTTCAGTCTGTATCTGTTCATGTATACAGCTGTTCCGTGAAGAGTGAAGACAATGAATATGGTTCAGTGTTACTGCAAACTGTTGAGGTCCTCAAGTCCCGTCCCACTCGGGAAGAGCATGTCCTTCCTCATAGCTTCCATTGCCATGTCATTCTATCGCTTCATTTTGGGTCGTCCCCCTGCAAAATTGTGACAGTTGTGGGACAAAAGCAAGTTGGCCGTGATCCAATCGACACACCAAAGTTAATTGAACAACATTATATATACAAAATATAACAGCAACAACAGCAGTCTCTCCCACCAAACGGGCCCTTTTTATAAAGCACTCATGAGAACCGTCTGTCCCACTGACTGATGAGAACCCCGTCTGTCATCCCCGACATCATGGAACGTCCTCACATCTGCGGGCCGCACCGACTCCCGGCCAGGAAGATATTCTGGGTCTTCAAGTCACGATGCCTTCGGTTGGAGCGAAACAGCACACCACGGTCGCGGTGTGCTTTTTCCCCACTCGGCCCGCTGGGGCTGGGAAAGAAATCGGTGCATCTGCCTCCTTGATCAGAAGTGGGTATTCAATGGCCTGGTGAAGTTCTTCCTTCTACGGTTTTCAGTAGTGCCGTAGACAATGGGCCTGATGAATTGGCTAATATGTCAACTTGAATGAAAGTTCTACCTGACCAAACAACTGCGACACACACGCACACACACATGAGATAATGCTACGTGTGTCACACTTTTCTCAACGGAATACATCTTTGTGCTGTAAAGAATCAACTCCAAAGAGGCAGAAGGGACTTCAAAGGATCATGCAATTGGTTTTGGCTAAGCTCTCGGAGATGGGATTTTGGAGCCTCATCCTCCCTTTAGAACTTCGGACTCCCACCAGCTCTTCTTCTGCTGACTCATGGCAGAATCCCTCAAAGAGTTGCCATTTTCCTGTCGGATCCCTGTATGGTGGAGGTGCAACAAAAATCTACAACATCAGGGCCCCAGGTCCCACGTCTTTAAGGAACAAATGAGGACTCCAGGAGGACTCCGGGAGGACTCTGGGATGACCGTGCTTCTATGTTTTTGCCGAGGGGTCCCATGTTTCGCTCCGAACCTTGCTCGCCACTCGTTCTTGCTTTGTTCAGTGTGGGTTCCTACTCATGGCATCTCATGGCTGCTCATGCCATCAACCAGTTGTGACCAGGGTGACCCGAACCCCAAAAACAACACATCCACGAAAGCCGACCAAATGGACGAGGATGATCCGGTTCTTAAAACGAGAGTCAAAGTTCTGGTCAATATCAAGTTGATGGCTGATGCGCAAGTGAGTTAAGCCAAACCTCCAACGACCCCACAGCTTGAGCCCCTCACAGGATCTTCTGCTGATGCAGCGATTGCAGCGCCTGGCCGGTGGTGCAAGGATGGATGAAACGACACAGGAGTCTTCCTCCAGGAGGTCCGGCAGCAGTGTCCACTACAGGTCCGGTCTCCCATTTCTGACGGCTTTTCTTGATGCAACTGAAGCCTATCATGCCGACGATTTCAAGGCCCAAGGGTCTAGAATCCAGAATGCCAACAAAGAGTGTTGATCCCAAACAAGTGTGAACCTACAAGGGACAACTCTCAGAGCTCAAAGAGACCCTCACAACAGAGCATGTTGTTTAACAGTTGAATGTTCACTATGCATTGACTGTTCACTAGCTTTCTGCAATGATTTTCTGGATGCAGCGGACGGTCCATCCCATTGGATTTCAGCCTGGACTCCCATCCCCTGGCGTGCCCAAACAATCTCAGTGAACCATTCCAAGAGCTGCGACTCGTGTGGTATCTGCCTGGGAAATGTTGCTCCAGGCATCTGAGTTCAAGGTGTGTTTCTGAAAACGGCAGCTAGCTACTTAACGTGAAAAGCCGAGGCACCCAAAGAAACCTGCACGATCCTGCACGTGTTTCACTGCAAAATACTAGGGCTTTGGAGCATGCGCCTGACCCTGACCCCTGGTGCAGGACTTGTTTCTCCACTTCCCTCAAGCTGCAGAATCTGCTAGACTTTGCAGTTTGCTGATCTTCCCACTACTGACCAGCAGCATGTTCGACTACGGACGATACCGAATGCCAAGTCTACTCGAAGTAGTCTAGGCTGTATGAACCTGCCACGTCTCAGTTGCTGTATGGCGGAACAACAATGAGACGAGCAACGACCTACATGCAGCGCTATGCTCTTGGGAAAACATGGGAAAACGCTCCAGGAAGGAAGACGCCAGGATGAAGTCCGCTGGTGAACTACTTGGCAACAAGGAAGGACAACAAGAAATGAAAGCTGGTGTGACATCTTCACACCCTCAGAGGTACATCTTCAATTTGAAGAATCACAACCAGCCACCGACCAAAGAACCTGTGTTGCCGCCTAAAAGCAAGCAAATGGGGTGCTGGCATGTCCATGTCCTGCTATGTGTCACACTGCACAGTGGTTTCGATGGTCCATGTACTCCAAGAAGCACCAAGCACACGTATCAGACTGATCATAGCAGATCAGTCCTTTGAATGATCAGTCCTTTGAATCCTTCACTCCTGTTGTTTGTGTCTAACAAACGGCTCGGGCGCCCTTCTTACCCTGACGCTTCCCTCCTAAAACCGGTAGCCATCCCATGGCCCCCCCGCGTTGGGAGCCCCCCACGTGCGACGCAAGTCCTGCAGGTGGGTAAAGATGTCCCCATGCCTCGGGCCGCCGCGCGCTACACCGCCGGAAGGTGGGACATGGAGAAGGTCGGGAGCCAACACCGGGTTTTCAGGTGCAGAAGAGGTGCAAAAAAAATGTGCAGAACATGTGCTTTGAGCCGAAGCTCAGAGCAAAGTAGACCACACGATGCAGTCCCCTGCGTCTTCGAGTGGTTCGCTGCGAAACAAGTTGGGTCAATATATAATGGCGGTCAATAGAATATCATCAATCACAGGTACCCAAAAGACACTTACCCGGCTTCCGTGGTCAAGCTACGCGCCCAAACAGCAACATCGATCAACATTGTTTGTGTTTTGGTCGCCATCTGTCACCAACACGTGGTAGCGAAGACCACACTTTGTCGCACGTGGCTCTGTCGAGACGTTTCTTCGGACGGCGAAAAAGAAAGACCGAGTGAAGGGGCTCGCAGTACTCCATCAATATGCAAAGGTGCCCGGAACGATCCTTGGAGAGACTCGGCAGCCGTGGACGCTTTTGCTGGACGGAAAACCCCGCTGGATGACCCCCGCTACAACGTGTTCGAGCGAGCTTGGCGACGTGTTCGGTCGTTGGACGCCACCGGTGGAGTCGAGTGTCTTGGTTCGCGGAAAGTTCATGGAGGGCCCTCAATGGGTGTTTATGCATCCTGCAAAAATACGGATTCCAGTTCAACTATCCAAGCTATGGTATGCTATGGTTATGTTTGCCCTATGTTCACTACCAAATCTTGGAGATGTGTCCACGTTGTCAATCACGGGGGGGGCATTTTTTTGAAAGAAACCAAACACCAAGCCGCTGTATCAGCTATTCACCCCCCCTTTAGACCACTTGGGGCAGCGTAGATCTCCCGCTACGACGTACACCAATCAGTTGTGCAGTCAGATGGATTCTTTTCAAACACATGTCAAGAACTTCTGCAGAGTTAAGGAGACTGGTGCCACCCAAGAAGACTGGTGCCTTACTTGGTGCCTTGGGGCCCCAACTTGGGGCACATTGCCGCCATACATTCTTCGTTCTTCGTTGGCGCACCCGTTGGGCCAAAGCCTTGAGGCCCTTTCAATCCATCGTTTGGGCTTGGACGGAACTCCGATTCGACTGGTTTTTGTGATCCAAAAAGAACGAGGTCGCTATGCACATTCGGATGGTTGAAACGGGGTTATACGGGTTATAGGCCAGATGTTCCAGTCTTCAGAGTGTCTGGAATCAAAAAAGCGCCTTGAGTTGCGCCATGGCGAACAAGAGATGGACTCTTCCGCGCAAGTCCCGGTTGTCTTCCCCCTTTTTTCATCGCCTGGTCGAACGGTTCACGGTTGTCTTCCCGCGTGTCATCGGTGTCACAACACGTGTCACAAGCGCATCGGTGTCACGGTTGCCCTTCCTGGCCAGGCTCGATAAAGGAATCGCGATAAGCCACGATGTTTGGATGCTGCATGGTCCGTAGCCTCAGAGCACAGCCAGGATGTGAACCGAGTTATGATTTCTATCAGGACAAAATGTTGTAATGGTTCTTGTGGGTTGACATTTTAATAAGGAGACACCCTTGGCCGAATATTGCTTTCCTTCTTCCTAGCGGGGTCAAAACGAGGTCGTCTCCCAATTTTAAATTCTTACACATCCACTACATCAACCCACAGCTACCAAATCCAAACGAATTGGCACAGTAGGACCTACATTCGGACGAATTGGCTGCAACGATTGGTCCGTAAACAAAAAAAAGCACTGCCGGATTAAGTCGCAGGCAGCTGGACCTGGCGAAGGTCGAGGAACACTTGCAGGTGGGATGCTGGTTTACCACTCCCCAACCTGACAGCATCACTAAAAAACAACGATCCTCCAAGCTGATTGTATAGATTAGAGGAACAGAATCAGTTGTCCTTTTCCATTGGAATTCTTAGGTGTCTCACTCTGCCGCGCACATGGCCCAGCATATCCTCAAATTTTACCCTTAAACTGGAATGAACAGGTCCAAGATGTACTCCCCATGGAAGCAATGGGGGTCGCAAGTGTCCTCCAGGAACTGCTTCAACGCACCTGTTTCCCCTGCTGATTCAGAGTAATAAGCCACAGCGATGGTACCAAGGCTACTACTATGTATACAGTCATCTCCTCCAATTAGTCGAATAGGCCAAATTTGTTCGTTTTGATTCGGGTATGCAGTATGCTTGATATTTAATATTCTATCATAATCTATCTGCGTAGTATGTTGGAATGATTCCATCGTCGCTACCCATCGTCCTCAGAACCCCCGGTGTGCCTCCAGTTCCATCTGCTGACGCCCTTCATCCGATGCCTGGACAATCCACGTGTGGCTGTGATTGAGAAGATTCGACTGCCTGAGATGAGACCTTTGGAATGCTCCTCTGCTTGCAGAATTGGATTCTATTTCGCAATGGCCTGATCCAGATCCAGAAAAGGAGGTGCTGCAGATCCAATACATGCTCTGGGCGATTGTCAGTGGTCTCTGGGCGTCTCTTGTCACTACTCTTTAAGAAGAGGAGCTACTCTGGTTCACCGGGTCGCGCTGGCATCTTGTTGCCAAACATGTCGTGCGATGCGGACGTGACGGAGCCGTTGAACTCAATAGGAAGTCCGGTGGAAAAAGGAAGGGATATTGAAATGCCCTTGTCACTAGTAGTTTCTTGTTAATAGTAGTAATGGCCTCCAACCTAATAGCGATGGCCCTCCACCCTAGTAGCTTCTTGTTCCTAGTGGGATGGTTTTGAGGGGATGTGTATGCTGCAAAGCCTGTTCTCCTGCTTTTTGTCCGAGTTCCCCACGTGTCGCATGCGTGTCAATTCTGTTAGACCGAGAGGAAATGAGGCTCACGAGTTTGAAGGGGTAATCTGGGAACCGAACGGAAAACCCATAGGTAATAACCAACCAAGCTTGCACTCCGTATGCAATGTTATTGATATCAACTGATATCATGTGCGATCAAGAACTTCTGACATCAAGCTTTCAACATCTTCGTTCCGCATCTTCGTTCGGAGCCCCCCCGCCGTTTGCAGCTCGATGCTCTTCAGGACGTACTCCCGCTGCTCCTGACGGACGCAGGCTGCAGCGGTGAGCCAACAAACTTCACACACCTGAAACATAGAAGAGCAAGAATGCCAACTCTGACTCTGCTATACTCTGCGACCGGAAAGTAGGGAGTTGAAAAGGTCGTCATGTTCTTTTCAATGAAGTCCAATAGTGGCCAAGCGCAACTCAACATACCACGCCAACGTTTGCCGTGAAACTCATTCCTCGAACACTATAATGATGTTCATGGAATAGGACTTCGTATGTTCTTTACAGCACTGTGACGACGCGCGGACGTCGTTGGATCACGTTTGGATCGCCTCTTTGTGAAGGACCAAGAAGACTTGACCGAAGGACCCACTGCCAATAGAGCGCTGCAGCTGATACTCATCCTCACAAGTGGCGCATGTCCGCAGATGATCCCAGTTGAAGAACTTCTTGGCGTTTAGGGCTGACTTTTGGACCATTCGCTAAACAATCCAGGTGACTTCGGCAGTTGACAAAACCAGTTGACTTTGAACCAGTTGACCAAACCTATGGCAAAAATTTCCGCGAAAGAATCCAGGTGACTTCGGCATGGTTCGATCTATGAACCAGATCCAAATGTATCTTCATGATACTTCTGTTCATGCAGCATCCAGTCGTTGACCCATGGTTTTCTAGATCTTCAAGTCTGGTACCGTTTCGACTAAGTCGTCCTCCCAGGAAAGGCCAGGCAGCTGCGTGTGGGAGAGGCCCTGAGAGGCGGAGAAAAAAAACCAACCGGTTTCGGCATAGCAAAAAGGCCAAGCAGTCTGTTGTCAACTTTGACCTCCCACTGGTTGTTTGAAGAACCAAATACTCGTGCCCATCTCACAAGCACGGCGCTTCCACCATCATGCTGAAAGAAGCAGAGCCATGACTGAGGATGAGAGTCGCAACCGTTTCTACCTGCTGAGAGAGTCGCATTGGCTGAACATCGTCTCGACTCTCTCCCGTGCGAACTCACAAGAACCGAGTGACGGGAGCGATGAACTTGATCTGGGGTCAATACCGACCACCAAACGAAAAGGACACCCATCATGGTTCGCCAAATGTGAAGATGTTGCTAGAGAGAAGCAAGTTCTCCAGGGGCACTACGTCGTCAATGGCAGGTCTTTCAACCTGTTTCTACTGCAATACAGTGAAGTAGAGAATATCTTCTCCAGCTGTCACTTCACTCCACATGAACTGAATGTAATGTCAATGATCTTTGACTAACAGCTTTCAGGTGCTGCCCCCCTGCACAGTTTATGCGTTCCGGCCTCCCACATCTGCTGAGCTGGGACTAAGCCCACCTTAGTCTCACTCAAACTCAGGGGACTAAACGGCGGATGATGCCATGCTCTCTATCTATTTTCCAGAGTGTTCAGTTGTACCCCTATTGGGATTCTTGGCACTTGTTGTCCGACACTCTTTAGCATGAATAGTCACACCCGCGTATCTTTTGGGGGGGCCAAGCCTGACATGTAAGTAAGGGCGGTCCAAGCTTGTAGATAAAGGAAATAACTGTATGTTTGTTTGAACATGATGTGTCCTTAATATGAATCCATGGTCTCTTATCAACATATATATGTGAAGCAAGAGAAATAAATAGAATACTAAGACTATGCCACATTATTGATGTTATCGTTCCACCTTTAATCTATCTAATGATTTACTATTCAATTACAATTATAGCATATGGTCCACAAATAAAGCAAAAGAAATGACGAAGAGCATTTGTGGGCCATCAATCTATAACATGTGATTCTACTTTTGTTTGTTTCATTAATGTTGAGCCTGTGAATCAGCGAAAAACAACTGCAATCAGTCGAGGCCCCCCTGCTGGGAGCTCACTCAGCGACAGGCCTAGCGAGTTGAACCACAGGCCGCTTCGGAGCTATCTCCAGCAGCACGAACAAACAGGGAAGGACTCTGTTTGAATTCTCCACACCCACCTGTCGATTGCTGTATCGCCATATCTCCAAACGGTGCACAAACATCAGGAACCATGGCCTCGCAGCCTTCGTTTCGGGGCCTCCCTACGGTGCTTCTCGCGCCTTTCTTACGGAGCGCGACCGGGGCGACCAACGGTTCCCACCGGATCCGTCGGTCACAGAATCACACGTCGTTCGCGCCTGTCGCCACTTGGATCCCACCTGCGCAGCTCCAGCTTCGGTCTGGACCCTGTCCCCTGTGGAACCCTGAGTTTTTCCTCTTAAAAGTCACACCAAGATCTTCCAAAGTAGGTTTGCGGAGGCCGTTTTGGACCACCAACGGCCGCAGGCGATCGGTCGCCGAGCCAGGACGTCGGTCCACCGGCGGCGCATCGGATCGGATCGTGCGAGGCGCGAGGCCAGCCCCGTTCGTAGCTGGAGATGGTGAGGTCCAAATCCACCCTGCGTGGCACCTCCATCCTGCGTGCTTCTCACCCATAGCAGCGGTGGATTTTCCGACAGTCAGATCCAAACTGTGGCTGGCATGAGGTGGGGGTCTGCTAGAGAGGTCCCTGTTGAGGGCACACTCCGTGTTTTTTCCTGGTGGGGTTCATTATTCTGGAATAAGAAGGCCTTGGTCAATATCAAGCCTCATGTCTGCTCGAGGGTCGCTCGATTCTGGTATGAGTCCTTTTTTGGCCGGCTGAGGATGCCACTATGACAGCTGAAGAGCAGAAGGATGTGGAAAGAAATCACAGCCCACATGAACAACCAAGAAGACTTGAGATGTGCGCGCGAGGCGTGCAAGTGGAAAGCTGCTGGAACAACTTGACAGCTCGGCTGGAGGATCCTCACTTGTCTCGGTCGGAGTTCAAAGCCATGCATTGCTGAAGAACTCTATGACACAGTCAAACAGCCACTGCGTCAAGCGTACCACGAACTACCTATAATTAAGTAGCGCGATCCACCTGAAGAAGTGGGTGTCTTGCATACCTTGGGGTTTTCTTGGACACCAACCATCTGTTGATCGCTCAAGATTCCTTCCTTGTAAAATTCTCGTCCTGTTCCACTCGAAATCTGCAGAACTGGTGGATCGGTCACTACAGAACCCACATGAACCCACTGGGTCTCAACTGGTACGTCGCTGTTGTGTTCTCTAACTGGAGACTTGGAGTTGCCACTGGCGAGACTCGGAGTTGGAACCACTGGTGAGCTTGAAGCAAAAAGGACTCTCTTTCCTCTTGGGGTAGCGGCGAATTCGCAACTTTCTAGTAACTTTCTACACTCCCTGAAATCATGGAAGTGAATGGCATGGGCCCCTTGAATGACCATATCCAAAAGGCAGTTCTCCACTTCCATATGGATTATTTCAGGGAGTGTAATGTTGGTTTCTTTCAAGAAGGGCAAGATCCCGCCATTGAAGAGGGCCATGGTAGCGACAGCAACTCCTTTTCGAGGCTATTCGGGCGCCGGCGATATAAGCACTCAGATGGGCATGCCACACGTGGTGAAGTCAAGACCCAAGAAAAGATCGCAAAAAGACACAACAGGATGTTGAAAATTGTAATAAGCCGTGGAGCTCATGCCCCAGCCTGCATAACTATGGCGTTCTCAAGCCCATAGAGCCTTTTGTTGCGAAACAACTTAGAAAGAAAGGCAGACATGTTTTGTCAAAAAAAAAGCACCGGAGGCGGGAGGCAAATTTCAAAGCATTGAAGATCATTTGTTCGATTCCGATCATTTGTTTGATTTCGACAGCTGAAACCTAACACTGCCAGACCCTTTCGCAAAGCACGGCAAGTATAATATGATGGGCTTATATAACTGAATGGCAAATGAAGCCAGAACGTGAGGTTAAACATAATTCATCAGAATCAGAATCTTCGACGGTGTAGAAGTAAACAAAAGGAACTCACACTTGAGAACCTTTCCTTCGGTCCGATGAACGCTCCACGCGTTACAGCAAGCACCCATGCAAGCGACGCGTCTGACCCGCGTGTTCGCCCCAGCATGCCAGCTTCCCGTGATCGTTGACATCTTCAAAAGGGGATCTCCGTCTGCAAAGCATCTTCAGGAGCTCCGAGTTTCTGTCTTCAACGAAAAGGAGTTCCGAGAAAAGCTGAGGGCTCCAACCCCATGAGACGTGTCACCGGGTTTGGTGCACTGTGGTGCACTGGTTTTTTGTGAACTGAACTGGTTTTTGTGAACATGCCATGACCTAAGCAAATGCTTAGAACCCAAGCAAACACAAGAGCTTCTCATTATATGGAAAAGCATCTCCTGCAACCGGTACCCTCACAAACAACCTCTCTTCAACTGGAAGATTTAGGATCTGTTCAATTCAAACACCTCTAAAAGTATGAGTCCAGTAACCTTTGCTTGCGCCAAGGTTTCTCATCTCTTCAACCGACCCCCATCATTGCCCGCGACAAGCTCCGTCGCGAGAGAAGCCGCACGCATCCGCGCAGCCGCGTTGTGGCTCATGCTACCCAAAACTCCGGCCTGGGCGTGCTTTTTGAAGGCCCACTTGCCTACTGAAACCTGAAACATCACGAAACCGGCACTCTCACATGGGTAACTGATTGACCTCAACCAAGTCGTGGACTTGTGCAAGGATTTAATCAAGAACTGATTGGGGTGGCAAAGAAAGGACAATAGAGTCAATGGAGGGCAAAATGCAGCAATGGCAAAAATTGGACTTGACATGGACTTGAAAATAGGCCCCAAGAAACGAAGCAATTTGGCCCAACACGCTGGCAGGTTCATGCCAGAGCTGACATCCACAAAAGGTCTGTATAGAAAGGTGATGATGTTCGGAGCAGATTCAAAGCCGTTCGACCGTGGGTCAAAAAAAGTCAAAATGAACAGATCTGCGGAAACACCCAAGCACATCGACCACTGGGCATTCCAAACCATTGCAGACAAATATTTAAAGGATCTGATCTCAATACCGAGATGCATCTCTACGGTTTAAGTGAGAAACAGTAATAAGACTAAGACTCTGAAATACACACAAAACACACACCCCTACACCTACACCTACACCTCTCCTTCGTCTTCCCAACCCTTTCCAACAATGAGCTCTTCCGACATGTCGCCTTCACCACTTCAGAACCCGAACAGGTTCCGGGCCTCAGGAGAAGTTGGAGCCGCGGGGCCTCAGCGATCCACTGGCCGATGGCTATTAGGTTGGAGGCCATTGCTACTAAGGTGGAGGCCATCCCTACTAGGGTGGAGGCCATTGCTATTAGGTTGGAGGCCATTCCTGGTAGAAAAGCTCCATTGATTGATTTCAGCAGGAACCCTTTAGGTGCCCCTGCAATCTCTTCCTGGGTTCTTCAGCGCCACTGTCTCCACCCTGGCGGGGTGAAAAGAGGTATATAGACAGATCTGCCTCAAAGCAAGAAACGACCGGCGAACTGCAGGCTGCAGGTGAAGGTGATGTACAAACAGGGAAACTTTGGCCTCCAAACTCATTTGTCAACCTTCCGAGGGCTTTCAACAGTTTTTCCATCTATTTGGCGCCACTCTGCGGGACACTGGCCATGTCGCTTTTTCAGCAAGAGTTCTCGCCAGGCAGTGGCACAACCACGCCCCCTCATGTTGAAGAGCCGAAGCTGGGCGCAGCCGCTGCAGCGAGGGTGGTGGAAGTCCTCCTGTCCATGGAGGCTCAACAAGGCAATGGACCGGGTACAAATAGGATCCAGGGTACATGAGTTATTGTCAATTCAAATTGTTCCATGCTGGAGGGCGCAAAAAGCTCACGCAGCTCTTCGTGTCTCCTCCTCGGCGACCAATAGGCCATCCACACGAATGTTCAGCAAACGCTGATGCATCCAATCCAGGTCAAAGGAAAGCCTTATAAGTTCGAACACGCCACCAGGATGAACTGGGTGCGGAAGACACGCAAACAAACACATCATGATGGGTTGACCCATTAACAGTTTACTACAAACAATGTTCCCTTTTCAGTGGTCTAGGTATACACTGTAGCATACCTTGAGGTTGTGCACATGGATCACACCAGAGGCTGAAGCGATCGAAAGGCATGCAAATCGTAGACGTAGATCCATTCGACGTAGACCACTTCTATACTGACTGAAATAGACCTTGGGCTAGAATCTTGCAGAAAAGGTGAATGAAACCCGACTTTCTCGGCGGCATGCCGCTGTGATTGTGGATGGTCCGCCGCTCTGAACATGCGAAACAACCTGGTGCAGTGTCATGTTCTTCCAAGACATTGGGTGAGTTGCTGCTGCACTTGATCGAAGAAATTTTGAGCAAAGCACTGAAGCGGAATGAAATGGGGGTTCCACACGCTTATAATATTATAGACCTATTATAGTTTCAACTCCAACCTGCCCGACATGCACCCCACGCGTATAGAAGAATCCCACACCAGCATGTCAGAAAATCCTAAAGCACAACATCAATTTGCATCAACCATATGATCATGATCAATCATGCATCCTCTCACCCCTCTCACAATTGTTCCATGTCTGTCTGGCCCAGTTGCGACAAGAAGTTGGAAGGACCTGATGGGAGGTGCGGCAGCTGGAAGTCCATTAAGTTGATATGCACACAGCAAAGTGGGATTCCCACGAAGTCGCTCCTGCACGACTCGGAGAGCCAAAACGACCGAACACGTGGTCGGTACGGAGGTCGGAGGGCGAGCAACCAGCACTCGCCAACGCACCAGAACGAGATGAGACGTAGTTCAGACAGGGTCAAAAAGGAGCCTCAAATCCCTTAAGTTTGAGCCACAAAAGTTTCTATGGCATGTAGAAGTTGAACACTTTAAACTGTGAGGAGCCTCATCTTAGGCATCTTGAAAGCCAGCTTGATACATTGGCTGTGCTTTTGGTGACACCTCGCCAGCACCAAAGCGCGTGAGGCGCTGGTGACCAAACGCGTTGGGGATGTGCATGGTCACAGCGAAGAGGAGTCAGAGTTTAAGTGACGGATACAATGCCAGCTGGTTGGAAGCACTGGCCCAACAGTATACAGCGGGACCACAGTCCGACCACTGTTCCACCAGCCCCAAAACAAGCACCACGAATCGGCTCTTGAAAGCTGGCCATGATGCGCCAGAACTTCTTCATTGTACCATTAGCCAGAACTTCTTCAGCCACAGGAGTTCTGACTCAGTTCACTCCCCTTGAAAGCTGCGAGACGAGAGGAAACACCTCCGTCCTGCGCTCCACGTAGACCCACACGCAGGCACGACCTTCAGCATCCTGCAAGGCCACATGGCCTAGAGCACAATCGCCCTCGGCCGTCACCTGGATTTCGGAGCGAGTGAGGAAGACATGGGCTGCCCAAGTGGGTCGAGCAGGTTCCCATTGATTATAATGGTGTATTTGTTCGACAGAACCAGGGCCCTACACATCGGATCCAAGAAAGGATCCGAAGGCCTGACCGAAGGCCTGACGTTTCTGCTTCCATCCGTTTCCTCAAACTGGGGGGGCCCATTCTTTCGCAGTTTGCCAATCTAGGAAGCCTTTACATCTATGGACGGCGCTTGACCTGTGAAGGGCGCCCCCTCTCCGGCCGTCATGTGGGCGCCAGTGAGCAAAGGCTTCATGACTTGACTTGATAAAGTGAAGCCATTGGATCCATGTTATTCAAGATGAATAGCAGAATGAGGGGGGTGAATGACTGAGGAGTAAGCTATCATGTTGTATAACCCTGGTGACTTTCTCGAGAAGCATCGTGTCAGCCAACGGCTTCGATTCTAACAGCCAAATTGTAAAGAATTCCGCAAACCTTGCGGTTCAACGCAGGTGGTTTGCGCCGATGCCCGTCCTCCAAACATGCAAGCCAAAGCGGCTTGGTCGAAAGGAGAGGTTGAAGTGTTTTTCATAATATCTCATAGGGCTTCATATATACATATATGTTTATGTGCCTTGCCTGAATAAGAAACAAAAGGGTCAGTCAACACATTTTACCCTACAAACCTCTCATCTTCCCATATCTTCGGTCTCCAACATCTCCATCTTTGCCAAGTCACTGCGATCCGGAAGCGCAAGCTGCTGGGCTTCTGCTCCAGCAAATGCACCAAACGTCCAGATGTGCCCCGCAACCAAAGGCGGCCGTGCGGAGAAAAGAGGTCTGGGGCAGCTCGTGGCGGCTCGTTTTTTCAGGGTTCGGGAACGGCCTGGGCCCCCCCCGTGTCCGTCCGAGTGGGCAAGCGAGGGTCGTGATCTCTTGGGGATGTCTGGATGTTGCTGGACTGAGAACCTCATCTAGAAAAGAACATGTCGATCGTACAAGTTGCCACATGCCACCATCAAGTTTCAAGCATGGAGGAAAGTAGTCCCGCTTTCTCAACATGGGCATCATCACACTCCCCTCTACCAAGGCAACCAGCGGGTGGGGTTGGTACTTGAAGATCCTCACTCCTCTCACATTGACTACGTGTCAGTTGATGACACCTGGCAATGGGGTAGGCCTAAGGAGAAGAATCAAGTCAACACATTAGCGTGAACGAGAAACAACTCATGGGATTTGACACGGAAGTCCGCTGAAAAACCTAGCAAACGGAAGTCCTGTAGTTCACAACGTTAAAAATTGAAAGGGCTATTGATGGTCAAGGTCACCATATCGCTTGGGAGGCAGATGTACCCAAAAGAACACACCAGTCAGAACCCACCAAAACTTACAGTCGACCAGTCATCGCAACGCCATCGCAACCATGCTGCCCTTCACATGCACATCACGGTCCCTGCCTGCGTCCAAACGACTGACCGGCCGCAGTTGCCCATCCTCCTCCAGCCGCCAACGGCCTTCCCAGCCCGGCGCGAACTCCTGCACTGCAGGCACAAAAGCCACAAAAGCCACAACAACAACAAAAACAAAAAACAAAAAGAAATGACTCTTGTCGAGAGAAAGAAACAAAAACACACAAAAAGTATACATGCTAAAAATGAACAGAATCCGGTGCCGCACATCGGCACCTCGTAGAGGAGCGCCTCCTCTGCGAGCCAAAGCCGCCGCAACAGGCTGAGGCCAAGCCTCGTTTCTATCGACGACCATCTTGGAGGATGGTGATCCATTGTGATCCATACCAGGACCTTCCAATGGGTGTCTGGAGATCCCTAATGGGCGGTGGGCTGCCCAACCACTTGCACGCACGGTCCGGACCGGCCTCTGTGGATCGAGGCGCCCCCGCCGCGCCACCCGCGGCGCGCCAAGGCCTGGACCGACTGGACCGGGGAGAGCCCCTAGTAGCGTCATATCGCTCCAATTTGCGATGCCAGGAGCCCCTAGTAGCTTCTTGTTCCTAGTTTGCTCATGTCCTTGAACCATGGAGGCTTGAACTTGGGATCTCATAAAATGCACTTGTGAGTAGCAGAAGTGTGCATAAGTAGCTACCCCCAGCCCACACAAAAGTCTACCTTTCGAGGCCTAAGAAACGAATTGCAGTTTTTCAGAGTGTCAGACTGTAGAATCACTTCATATCCTCAATTTGGTCAAATCATGTCAAATCTACTCAGTGCATGGTATCTGTGCAGAACCAACCAAACACTATGGGGATTCGCAAATTGCTTGGGTGCAGGATCATATCCCTTTGGCAGGCACACATCTAAATCGGTTCTTGCAAAAAGAACACTGATTCAAATGAGTTGCACGTGGTTGAACCATTCCACAAGTGTTTCTGCAACTTATGGAGTGGTCACTCGGAGTGGTCGTAAAGGATGGTGTCATTTCTCAGGGCGAAGTACTCGAAGGACAAGATGTCCAACTCTGGTCTTCGGAGAAAACTTCTTATGTCTCATACTGTACAAGTCATCTCTATTCCCAGACGCTCCGTTTTTCACAGCCCGCCAGGTCACTCGTTCAACCTGGAGATTGGTTCGACCCCAGACCCTTGACCCAGACCGAAGATTCGAGTCCGATGGCCCAGGGTCGCGGACAGGACAGGACAACAGCCACTGGTTATGGCCACCGCACGGTGACACGGACCCTGCGAGTGGGGGCGGACCCGTCTCTGCAGTCCTTCTGTGAGCAAGTGCCGCCAAAGAGAGGAGGTGGCGGATGCCATGGCCAAAGACTTTGCTGGCACATGGTCCTCAGAGCAGAAACAATAAGCTAGTAGAAACAAGTGCATCGCTTCTAGTAACAAGTGCCTTACTAGTAGTAACAAGAAGCTATTAGAAACAAGTGCCACGCTAGTAGTAACAAGTGCCACGCTAGTAGTAACAAGAAGCTATTAGAAACAAGAGATAGAATCTTGCCAAACGACCAAAGACCTTTTTTGGCGAACGACCGGTGATGGATTTACACGACCTTTTTGGCCGTTCGAAGCAGTGGCCGTTTTACACGGTTCCATCCGATTGTGGTGTTTTCCAGACCGAACTGGAACTGGGTACCACTGCAAGATACTGTACTGCATGGATACCACTGTTCCAGTACTTGCTTGCTTGTCAGTGGCCAGACCTGGAGGAATTACTGTAGGACTTGAGGAGTGGCTTTGAGGGCTAACATGTTGGGGCGTAGTAGTGCATTGAATTTGTTCATAGAGCCTAAGGGCCTAATGCCGCGACAAGCCTCACAGTCACAAGGCTTGCTATGCGCCGATGGTGGAACAACCTTGGTTTTACTAGGTCTGCTTTGTAGATTTTTTCGCGCCTCCAGTTCGTTCGTTCCACTCAACGAATCTACTAAGCAGACCAAGGCTCGAAGGCCTGCAAGATCAACTCGGGCGCCAAAGGTACCATGGCGAGCGCAGGCAAGCGCGAGGCCGGAAGGAAACGGAAGGCAAAAAGGACGCCGGTTCTTGAGAAAAGTGAGAAAATGAGACAGTATGTTCCATTGATGTCTTTCCCATGTACTCAATTACCTTAATTACTTCATCTTACTTCATCTAAACTTCTTCCCGTTGGTGTATCCATCTAGATGTCACTGCCCATGTTCACTGTCCTCATTTTGGAACCACGCCTTTACTGCTGCTTCTTCCACTCACTTTCCTCTATGTCCAATGGTTTGTCGTGGTTTGTCTGGGTCTTGCACACACATATACTCACATGCTTGGCATTGGCTTTCTATGTGGCGTGTGAAGTGGTTCTGTTCTGTTTTCTTCATGATGTCAATACTGACAGCTTCTGAGAAGAGTCTTGGTGGTGTTCAATTCTGCGGAACAGCACCGATCGGACTGCTCGCAGTCGGGTTCGTGCAATATTCACACAACTGTGTGTGTGTGCTTGGTCATCCAATGTCGCGAATTAGGCAACCAAACTCTAGACCTGAGAAAAGTCAAGTTGAACAAATTGTTCCATTACTGGTTCCACTGGATCCGCCTCTTGGGTAGTTAAGCGGCTTCTTTGGCGGATGTGATGGATGGTGGAGTGAGCAAAACCATGGCGTGGGTTGTGTTTGACAAATGAAAAACTACCAAACCACTGGTGAGTTTGGTTTGATCAACATCCAAACCATTTGGTGTTTCTGATCAGGAAGTCAGGCGACAAGATATGTATGATAATGTATGATATAATAGTCAAATCACCAGGCACATGAGAACAACCGAGCAAAGTCATCAAGGTCTACAACGGAACATCTTGCACACCATAGTTGAACCAGTATGGATGGTTTGATACAAGTGCAAATCTCTGAGTTTTCTCAGAACTGATTCCAGTGTGCGAGCTTGAACGACTGCAAGACATGAATCAATCTCTCACCCAGCAAATCCAGTTACCCCTTTTTGGAGCTGAGGACCAGTGGTTCTACAGACTGAAGAACGGAACGGGCCCCTGATCCGGGGTACACCTGATTCCTTATAGAACACCTGTCTGGGATACATTGGGGTTTCGTTCAGGAAAACACCTCAGCCTGGAGACTCCGGCCGTGCCCGCCTGGGGACTCCGCCGGCGACCTGGGGAATTGCTGTAGGAATCAATGCGCACCCCAACAACCAAGGATTGAAATCCTTAGCAATTGAAAGTGGAAACTGTAACAGCTGAATTTGTATAGGCTGAATGTTCATCAACTGTATCTGCGAAACATCCACCATGAGAAATTTGTTTGCTGTTCTTTTTGAACCAAATCGGCCTTTTCTGGCCGAAAGAGGGCAAACCCCGAATCCCAAAAGAGCTGTTGTTCCACCGCACATCGAGCTAATGCGCTTGGGCCCCGAGCTTCTTCGGCTCCGGCTCCGGCTCCGGCTCCGGCTCCGGCTCCGCTTCCGACTCCGGCTCCGGCGGGCGGGTGGCGGCCTTGGATGAGGGCGGCGGTTCTGTGACCGGGGCGACTTGAAGGAAAACACCAAGTGGTCTGACGGACTGGAGATACCGACGCCTGCGCCAAATAATCCCTCGACTTTCCCGCCGGCCAGACATGTGTGTGTGTGTGATAGACTGAGTTACGTTTGTTGTCAAGGCGAATGGTTCCAGGAGCTCGCTGCACCCTAAGAAATCCAAAGGGAAAACACACGTTCTTGTAGGAAACAGTTAAAAAGCAAACAAGGAGCCGTTGGTGCACTAGGGAATATGGGCTTTTGCACACGCACACATAAAACACGCCCTTAGATAGGAGGCTCGCAAAAGCAAGTGTCAGTTGATGATTTTCCAATTTAGTTACTGCATTACCAGATTAGAGTTCTGAGAGCCGGATACCTTCAAAAAACCTAGTGTTTGCAAGGTGCAAAAAAAACGCATTGTTTAAACCATCAGCTCAAAAGTTAGATCAAACCTGGTGCAGGTACACATTCAGGCGTCCCTGAATGTCTCCACCAATATTCTGTTGCCCCCCTGCTGTGACTGCACAAATCAAATTGAATTTGTTTAAACGATTTAAAAGGGAAGAATGTTGTCTACAGTGTGTGGATCCCTGAGGAACAAGGTTTGACACACACACACACACTTCGACTTAAGTCTACAGCCGGGAAAGGTAAAGGGCAAAGGACATTGACAGTGTCCTTGGCGGTAACAAGCAGGCACACCGGAGTGATCATGTCCCGGCTTCCACCTTTGCGCATAGCTTCATTGGCATGCGTTTGCGTAATGGCCGCATGCACCACGCTAATGCAAATTTAACCTTGAGGTGACGCACACCAAGTGGCCCCCGCACTGGCCACCTGATGCCAAGAAAAATGCCCACGGTGATTCAAATCCCAAAACTCCCCAGACCCCAGCCAAGGTCAATCAAATGGGGAGGAACCAAACCAGGTGATTGCACAGACGGGCCCCTCAGGGGTCACATGTGGACTCCGAGTGTCCAAACCGAGCAAATAGGAAGTATGGCACGCAGAAAAGGGTGGGAAGGCATGCTGCAGGCATGGAATTAAGGCCCATGACATGGAAAGCCCGACGCACAGGGACAACCAATTCAACAAACCTGGGGCGCATAAACTGCGCACGCAAGAGCAGGAAAGGAATGTGATGAAAGGACCTGAAGGCAGGATAGACCCGAAAAGAAAATAAAGGGGCAAAGGGTGTCTGGAGGCAAATGAAAGGAAGCCAGGTGAAAGGGGACCCACCAGACAAAACCAAACCCGAAAAATCTGCTTAAAAAAGTGGTGCGCCTCGCCTCCTTTAGTTGGTGACACAATAGCCGCCAAAAGCTTGGCATGACACCACTGAGTCTTCGCACCAGGGGGCTGCGCCTTCAAATTCCGATCAACTCGATCAATCGAGACTCGAGAGATCTGGAGGTTTCAAGGGTGTCGGTAACAGACCACTTTGCAATATTCGGCAGTTGCAAAGAGCACGCCGCAATGCTCCCCTGCCGATGGGTCCTTTTCTCGGCGAGTCGGCGACTCACAGACGGTGTCGAGAAGGAATAGCCGAAACACATGGGAGATTGGGAAAAGTTGAGGAGCGATGTGGTTGTGTGGTGGTCCAGAACCTCCTAGCTCAACAGCAGTTGTCAAGTCAAAGGTGCGGGATACGGGCAGTGTAAGAGGTAGAGAGGTCTGCAACTAAGCATCTCAAGCAGCATGAGCCTGAAGCTGAAGTTGTCATAACATGTGTATGTGTATGTGTGTGTGTTAACACCTGTTTCTAAGGTTTTAACTGGTAATTTTTACCGTCGGTTCCACTAGAAGGCTGGGTGCTACTAGTAGTTTCTGACCTTACTACTAGGACCAAAAGAAGCAGGGGGCCACAGACCTGCCACTGCTGCTGTGGCCAACGAAGACCGGCAGTGGCAGGTGTGAAAACGTACCTGCAAAACTGTTTAAAACTGTTGAAAGCGGCTAGTGCATAGGCGGTCTGCTAGGTTTTCTGTAAAACGGCTAATGCATAGGCGGTCTGCTAGGTATTCAGTAAAGCGGCTAAGGCATAGGCGGTCTGCTAGGTATTCAGTAAAGCGGCTAATGCATAGGCGGTCTGCTAGGTATTCAGTAAAGCGGCTAATGCATAGGAGCTGAACCTTTTGTTTAAACACCTTCAACTGCTTGGACCTATCGCCTTTCCGTTCTTTCGCCTTTCTTCCACCTGGGAATTGAGTTAACAGAAAACCAATGTCAGAGTGTGTCACGCTGGGTTCTTGGCTTAGCCCAGATCCCATCTTGGCTACAAGCACGTACACCCGAGTGATCAATCCCGGTTTCCACCAATACGCATAGAGGTGTTGACTCCGACTTCTTTTTCCTATTTGAGCAGGGGGACCATCCATGTACGGTGTGCGATGGTCCAACGAAACAGCCACAGTACTTGCGGATATCACGGCTGATCACCGCGACGTACCTGCGAATTTTCGAATGGCACGAGGCTGATCCCAGAACCTCAATGTAGCTGAAGACAAAGAGCGACCGCCGTAACTTCGACCTGTTCGTCGTCCTCGATCTTGGCCCTGTGGCAACATTTCCTCTTGCGGAGCCCCATGCCCCTTTAGGACTTTCCTGGAACTTTCAGGATGTGGGTGTCTTAGGATGGCGTGTGGGACCGCCGTCAAATCAGTATGCATTTCCATGAGTGTGTAAAAGGTACCTTGCATGGATATATCAAAGAAGCTTCATGCGTCTCTAGCAGCAATGCGCGTTATGTGCGAAGCTGTGAAATGGTACTGTGAGTACTGTCATCCTGTGAACCCTTGTACGACATTACCTGGTTACACATGTTGAAAAAAGAACCACTAAGCCTAGACTGACATATTCAAGAACTGTGAGATGCAGTTCAAACTGTCTCTGTTGTTCTTCAACGATATCCCGTCTCCCGCAGTGCTCGGCGCAAATCGATGTAGACTGCCGCCTAGCAGTAGCGCAAACATCATTCAACAGACCTAACACTGGTCAGCACACGCATATGTGCACCGTGCGCCTGGCAGTCCTTTCCTTAGATGCCAAGAACTGCGTCGAATGTCGGGAAAGCAAGTTGTAGAGAAACTTCCGTTATTCCCCAGATCTCAACCAAGTAGCGAAAGCCTGAGACTACACGATCGTCATCTGGCTCGAACGGCTGGAAACGCACGTGATTTCTGTTGCCTCCACCGCCGCCAGCCACCAGGCCGTCCCTGCCAGTGGAGGGATTAGACGCAACATGAGTTTTCCCTGCAAAGCCAGAAAAAGATGGCTAGGATAGAAGGCGAAACCGATTGGACGCCGATCGGTTCTCCGCCTCCGAATCTTTCGCAGGCAGCTCCAGTAGCCTGGACCGCCAGGAGTGCTATAGGTTGAGGCTTTCATAACATGACAACACGGAGGCTTACAAGTTAAGCCTTTAGGCCGTGGGCGAGATGTGGCCAGCATGCATGTACGCAGAAGTTTGACAGACTATCCTGACAA